CTGGAACCAGTCTGGCCATTCTCCTCTGACCTCTGGCATCAACAAGGCATTTGCGCCCACAGAACTGCCGCTCACTGGATATCTCCTCTTTGTCGGAGCATTCTCTGTAAACCCTAGAGATGGTTGTGCATGAAAATCCCAGTAGCTCAGCAATTTCTGAAATACTCAGAGCAGCCCGTCTGGCAACAACCATGCTACATTCAAAGTCACTTAAATCCCCTTTCTTCCCCATTCTGATGCTCACTTTGAACTTCAGATGGTCTTGATCATATCTACATGCCTAAATGCATTGAGCTGCTGCCATGTGATTGGCTAATTAGAGATTTGTTAACGAGCAGTTGGACAGCTGTACCTAATAATGTGGCCTGTAAGTGTAAACCTACATCAATACACGCATACAAAGCATGCAGTTTGGCTCTTCCACCTAAATAGATCAAAAATCTGTTTCCCATCACCTCATACTTCAGTTTCTCCAATAAAAATGCACTATACGGGACCTTTTAAATGACCTTTAAACCTTAATTGAGATCGTACAAATCAATTCGAATAAGCCACTAAATCAAAAAGTTACGAATTGCCATGAGATTGTGCTGGTTGAATCTGGTAGGGCAGGTTTAAGGCCTCTTCGAATTTGGATCAGTGTCAAATATGCTACGTTTCACAGTATATACTACACGAGTCTACAGTCTAGCTAAACAGTTCTTTACAAACATCTCGTCACATTTAGGGCCGGTCACAGTATTGGGTTTGGCGGCTGTGTGTTGTTTCTTTTGTGCATAGTGTTTGTCAGGGAAGCAGTACATACACGATTTAAAGACGTTATAATCTCCTATGACATGAACATACAACTTGAGCACAATGTTCGTAATGCACATCAAGTCACAACTAATTTCTAACAGGACAAACAATAAAATGCTACTCCATTATAACAATTCTGAATAATTCATCACTGGTATAACGCGAGCAAGACGGTAAAGCAGATTGTCAAAAAACAATAATTCAGTAATATCACAATATTTGTCTGAATGGTTACAGTTACTGCTTTAGGTTTTGGCAAACAGACACTTTTAAAGAGCTTAAAATATACAAGATCTGTATCTAAGTGCATGTTGATAAACATCCAGACGTTTCTCAGACAGCTCAATGACCTGAAGCGATGGAAAACCAAAAGAGCTTCATCTTTTAAACGAGGCACAGCCATATTTCAACAACCTTCTGCTACATATTGCTTTTGCATTTACTCATCTCGTTTTCACCCACATTCACAATAGTACAGTCCACTGCGGTGGCAGGATAAGGCATACGTTAAATCTGCCAGATGCTCGGTTAAAGTCCTGTGTACAGCACAGGTGTCAAACTCAATTCCTGGAGGGCCGCAGCTCTGCACAGTTCTGCTCCAACTCTATGCAAACACCATCAAGCGACTATTCAAAGTGTTCAGGAGTAGTCTTGAACACCTGGATTATATGGATCAGGGGTGATTAGAGTTGGAGCAAAACTGAGCAGAGCTGCGGCCCTCCAGGAATCGAGTTTGAGACCTGTGCTGTACACCTGATATCCTGCAGGTTTTGGCTCTGAAGGCTGATTTATACTTCTGCGTCAAATGCCCGCGTATGCTACGGCGTTGACGCATAGCCCTTCGCCGTGGCTGATGTGCACCTCTCAAAAAATGTAACTACACGTCGCAATAACGCATAGCACAAGCTCTGTGATTGGTCGGCTTGGTAGCTCTGACGAGTCTGGGCGGGACCGAGAGCCGCGCGAATGGCGCAAGCCCAATGGAGCGATTGTTTACAAGTGTGGAGTCCTGTGAAGGAGCTCCGGATGGAAAGTTTTGTTTTGTGTTTACCTCATAGTTAAAGTTGCTGCACGTCTGCCGGTTCCTGCCTCAAAATAAACAAGTTTGAGCCACTTGTACATCCCGGAAGTGTTCAGGAAAAGCAAAACAGCAGAGAAGAAACTCGACACAGAGGAACATTTACACCACACTGCCAACTAGTGTTTCGGAAGCGTTAATGCAGACCGACAGAGACAGCGCGCAGAAGTATAAATGCACAGCTACGAGCAATGCATGCGCCGTGGGTTACGCCGGTCACTTGAAGCAGAAGTATAAACCAGGCTTAACTTGCCTCGACACACCTGCAAGGATGTTTCCAGAAATCCTAGAAAGAGATTGATTAGCTGACCCAGGTGTGTCTGATTGCCGCTGAGGCTAAAATCTGCAGGACACTGGACCTCCTGAATCAAGACTGAGAGCCCCTGCTGTACATCATCAGTCTGCATTAGGATCATGCATTTCTTAAATCTCACTGGTGTTCATTAGTTTTGCTGGTGATTTCAGAATGAAACAGGGGTACAATCATGTGAAAAAGTAAGGGCACCCTATTGAATTGAATGGTTTTCTGTATCAGGACATGATGATCAACTATGGTCATGGTAGGTCTTAAAAGGTGGAAGATAAAACCCTCAGATGAACATCATCAGCATGCCATTATTTATTGAACACAAGTAAAGGCGAGATAGACCAAGGACAGCCCGATTCAGATCCTGTAGATCAGGGATCACCAAACTTGTTCCTGCAGAAACTTGTTCCGGTGTCCTGCAGATTTTAGCTCCAACCCTAATCAAACACACCTGAACAAGCTAATCAAGGTGTTACTAGGTATACTTGAAACACCCAGGCAGGTGTGTTGAGGCAAGTTGGAGCTAAACCCTGCAGGGCACCGGACCTCCAGAAACGAGATTGGTGACCCCTGATGTTGATGCACTTTTAGTACTAATGATTAAAGTCCTGATTTTTTTGGATGATCACAGGGCGTACTCACACTAGGTACAGTTGCCTTGAACCCTGCCGAAGCATGGTTGCCCCTCCTCCACCCTCCCCCATGGCCTGCACTCACATTGCATTTTGCATTCTGAGGCGGAGCATGCTTACATCATTGATGATGTGCTGTTCAGTTTAATGGGAACACTGTTGTAGACACTACAAGCGTACTGCGCCAAACCGAACCGCGCTCTGGCACACCTCTTCCAACCGGCCCCGAGTCGGCCAACTGAACCATGCCTGGGCCTGATTCGGAGCTCACTCACACTGGTCAAACAAACCGGGAAACGTGCCTGGTATCTGTTCGGATAACTTGGTGTAAGAGCACCCTCTGTCTCTCGGATCATTCTGGAGGAGTTTTAGGATGAGCTCTGCACTCTGACTATTGAACAGCTTAATGTTTCATGTTGTGTTGTAGATCTGCTGCTGGGTTTGGGATCATCGTCTTGTTCAGTAGGTCAGCTTTAGCTGTGGGACAAGTGTGTTCACACACACTCAAGACCAACACACTGGTCACACTTCTGCTGATCATCAGCTCAGGACTTTGATTATCACTGATAGACTACTGTAGTTGTTCATCTGAGGATTTAATTCCCAAATGTTCTGAAAACGCCCTGATATGGAAAAACTGCAATTTAAAACTCGTTTCACGTGACCGTGTATGATCTTTGGGGGTAAAGAAGCTGGAACAGACATCGCATCATGTGGGCTGCTTTCACACTAGAGATTATAGTGTACACCTAACATTTCCACTGAGCAGTTTGGTATGGTACACATGTACTTTCATTTCCACTGTCAAAGGTACCAAAATAGTGAAGCATACAACTTGTTTGGCACGCTTTCCTAATGATGCCTAGCATAACAGTACGGTACTAAAATGTGTAGCATTGCTGATCATGAATGAATCATGGTTAACCCAAGCGTAGCAAAGCTAAACATCTTCATCTTGTGACAAACAGCCGCATGCCAAGAAGAACTGACAGCGAGTACGTTAACTTGCACATCTGACTTAAAATACAGTAGTGTGAACTAGGCATAAGGAAAAGCGTTTGGGCAAGTTAGGACGATTATAAGGGCCTACACCATTTTGGGGCTCCCAGAGATACTATTAGGGGCCCCCCCGGACATAACACCCCAACCCCTCCCCACTTTTCACTTTTGCCTGCGACACCCACCCTGTCCCCCTTCTTTTGTCTACACCACCCAACACTGCCCCCCCCACCCCCACATCTTCACTTTCATCCACGACAACCACAAAATGTTGTCATAGGGCCAGTACCAGCCAGTGGCGCCCCTGGGACTACAGTGGAAACCCGTACCAAATCATATTGTACTGTACTTAACCATACCACTCAGTGGAAACCTGGCGTAAATCTACTTGACGTCAGTTTAGTTCGTTTGGCTGGTGTTTTCTGAACTTCAGTTCGGACCAAGCAGTTTGCCTTGGTACATTCTAACATTTGCTAAGGCAATTTTTATAGTCACATTTTAAGGCTGTGAGGCCATGTGAACTGCACCCCAAGCCACTGTATTCAAGTGTACTCTGGTTTGGTTCCTTGGGAGCCCCAGAGTTTGGTAAAGAGCTATCAAAACAACCAAACAACGTCAAACGGACTTAAAGTGATCGATCACCCAACAAGGAAAATCTACTCGCTTTTTACTCACCCTCAAGTAGTTCCAAAACTATAAGTGTCTTTATTTAGAAGATGTTTTGAAGAAAGCTGAATACCTGTAACCGTTGAATTGCGTAGTTAGAAAAACAAATACTATGGGAGTAGGTCAGGGGTGGGCAAACTCGGTCCTGGAGGGCCGGTGTCCTGCACAGTTTAGCTCCAGCTCTACTCAAACACACCTGCTTATAGATTTCTATTGATCTTGAAGACACTGATTAGCATGTTCAGGTGTGTTTGATTAGTGTTGGAGCTAAAGTCTGCAGGACACTGGCTCTCCAGGACCGAGTTTGCCCACCCTTGGAGTAGGTGGTTATAAGTATCCAACTTTCGTCCAAACATCGTCTTTTGTGTTTAACAGAAGAAAGGATTGAAACCAGGGAGAGTAAATGATGTTAGAATTTTCAGTTTTGGATGAACTCTCCTTTAAGTCCCTATCGAAAGAGTAGTTGTCTTATCATTGACACATTCACATTAAAACGGCATATACATACAGCCAAACTGCACTTGTGTTTTTGAAGTTATATTAAACCCATAGACTTATAAACTGTATTCACAAAAAATCCCAAGGATTCAAAAGCCCTGGCTGATTCTATACACTCTGTTTTGCACAATAAATAATAATAAATAGCACTTTTTTTTTCCTCTGGAAAATGAATGGATTAAATTGGTCTCTGCTGGATGTGGACTGCAGGATACATCAGCCACATGTACTGCACAGAAAAAGGTAAGTCCTGAGGCGTTTCCTTTCAACTAGCACTTTTTGTCATCTCAAAGTTGTCCACCTAGCATGCTGCCGACTGCCTGCTCCAGAGCATGAAGCTGATGGTTCTTGGTTTTTAGCCCTGCTCCAGACCCCTGCAGTCTCTGCAGCTCTAGGATGCTGTCTATGGCACTTTGCAGGTCTTCGCTCAGTTCCCCGTCATCTAAAAGAGACTCTGCTGTTGAAGCCATCGGCCTGGTTCTCTTCAGCACTGGAGAACACTGCTCTGGAAATAAGCCTTCCCTCCTCTGAGCTATGTAGTCTGGATTTGTCACAGAATCGGTAAGATTCTGCAAATCGCTATCTGTACTTTCCGTTTCCTTGTTAAGGTTCAATTTCAGCTTATTGAATTCACTTTTGCTCTCGTCAACATTTAACAAAGCAGGCTTGATGACTTGGTCTTTCCCCTCAGTTACCTGCTTGCTGTAGTTTCGCTTAAATCCGCAGACTGCATTTGCGGCTTCGCTTGCAGAGGATCCTGACTCTTGTTTGATAGTGAGTCGGAGCGCTCCTTTGCTGCTGGAGCGATATGTCTTCAGGCCTGGAGGTCTATCAGACTGCAAGGTCCATGACGGTGGAGATGAGGGACAACAAGAAAGGCCAGCCTTGACGGATGATACCGGAGTCGAGCTCTTAGTCTGGGACATCAGGATAGACTCTGCTGAATCAACAAAATTGACAAAACTTGCTCACTTCTCACCTGGGCAAAGTACATGCAATCTGTAATTGTCACACTTCTATGCACTCTTCAAGTTGCTCAAATCAGTCCTTGGAATAGAGTATATCTAGGGTTGCGCAATGTATCTAAAAAGGATCGCTATTGCAATGGTTCAAAAGTGAACCTAGAGCTGAAAATATACACTGGCAGAAGTTGAGACAGTTTTTAAACATTCATAGTGTTTTACTATGCATTCCAAACAGGTTACATCACCCTCTGAAGGGCATTAAAGAGTGAAAGCAATCATGACCACAATATTGATGTGTTGATCCAAACCAAACACACTGGAGGGCCCTTTGGAATAAAGGATTTTAAAGGGTATACCGGATTGACAATCAGGTCCCCATGGTCCTTTGCCCAAGGAAGTTGTTTGGTGTCGCACACTGCATTACAGTCTGAAGGGCTCATCTCAATGCCCTAATCCAGACATAGGCAAACTTGGTCTTTTAGGCCCAGGCTTCGTCCGAAACCGCCTACTCCTCAGTAGGTACTGCATTTGAATTTAAAAATACTACTCGGCCATTAGAAAAGTACGTTCTTTACAGTTTGAATGGAATTTGGACGTACTACTTCTGCCATTTTGACATGGTCATGTGATCAACCTGCTTCAGTTGCATCGCTTCTCCCATTCATGAATTCTCTCGCAGGGTGTAATGGAATAGCGCAACATGCATGGGATTAGAGATCTGCGCGGGACTAAATTTTGAATCCCGCTCCCGCCCGCACCCGCCAGGTTTTAGCCCGAACCCGACCGCTCCCGCTAACATTCAGCATTTGTTGTCCCGCTGCCCGACCCGCCCCGTTTTCTACCCGCCGCGCCCTTTCCCGCTAAAGAGCAGGGGGAGAACAAAACCGAAAACCAACCAGCTATACAGAGTCCAGACAGCCTATAACAAGCTGTCTGCATAAACACACACACACACAGGCAAAGCTCTCTCCCTCTCTCATACGCGCACACACACACACACACACACACACACAAACAGCAACAAACAAGCTAAACACAGCATCGCGCTATTTCATTTACACACATACATACGCGTGCTCGCTCGGGAGTCGGGAGTGATATTGCTAGACGGCCCGTTCCCGTCCCAAATTAAACCCGTTACCGACCGCTCCCGTGCTTTATTCGGAAATTGGGGAAATTTTCGAAATTTCAGAAATGCAGACCTCTACATGGGATGCGCACTTCAGAATCTCGTCATTTGGGTACTTCTCGCATACTGATTTTCGAATTCCATAAGTTCGGACATACTACTCGGCTCACATACTTATTTTACCGCACTGCATAGTATGGAAGTATGCGCTTTCGGACACAGCCCATGTTTCCTGCAGAGTTTAGCTCCAACCCTAATCAAACACACCTGCCTATAGATTTCTAGTGATCTTGAAGACACTGATTCGCTTGTTTAGGTGTGTTTGATTTGTGTTGGAGCAAAACTCTGCAGGGCCACTGGGATCAAGTTTGCCTATCCCTGCTCAACTCCCTTCAAAGCTGTCACTTTCAAGGGTACACTCTTTGAAGGGATTGAGGCATGGGTGTCAATTTCAGTTCCTGTAGGGCTGTAGTTCTGCACGATTTAGTTTCAACCCTAATTTAACACAACTGATCAAACTAATTGTGTCCTTCAGGCTTGTTTAAAACCTAAAGGTAAGTGTGTTGAAGCAGGCTTGGAACTAAACTGTAGAGCTGCGGCCCTCTAGAAACTGACTGTAACACCCCTGCCCTAATCTCTTCGAAGGGGTTACCCTTGGGAGTGACCGCTTTAACGGGATTAGGGCAAGGTTTCCCAAACTCAGTCTCAGAGACCTGGTGTTCCGCATAGTTTAGTCCCAATCAGACACACCTGGGCTAGCTAATCAAGCTCTTACGAGGCTTGCTAGAAATGTCCTAGCAGGTGTGTTGATGCAAGTTGGAGGTACAATCTGCAGGACACCGGCCATCCAGGACCGAGTTTGGACACCCCTGGATTTCCCACTATAGTACAGCCCTATAACAAACCTAAATCAAAAAGGCTTGAGCCAAGTCACGATCTTTGAGTTACTTAAAAATCAGTTTGTTCAGCGTTTAAGGTAGGAAGGACTGATTTTAAGAACAATGCTTTATTATAAAACTGCATCAACTTTTCAATGAGGAGAAACTTTTGAGGCAAAACCATGAAGTATAGTCACCTGGCTCTCTTCTGGCTCTGCGTTTGTCCTCCACCAGTGAGAGTCTCTCGGATTGGAGGAACAAGCGCTCCAGCATCACCATCTCTGCTGACGGGCTGTCCTGCTGAAAGAACAACAACATCTGCCATCTGCCAATGCTCGTATTGCAAAGAAATGTTGTTCAGAATATCAGCAATGATCTGACTATTAGCCTTCGATTCTAAGTTAGGCTCACATTAAAACCAATGTGAAGTATTTCTGAGAATTCTCTCTTCTAGCTAACTTGCGGGACTTAAATGTATTATTCCAGTTTAAAGCTCAACTGTAAACCCACTTATTTAGATTCGCTTATCTTTTATAATGTGTGTTATTTTATTGTTTTATTGTATTTTATTCCATTGTTTATTTTTTTTATAATACTAGTTTGAATAGTTGAGTTAACGTCTTTACAGTCCACTGGATCAGTAGTTCCCAATTCCAGTCCTTGGGATCCCCCACCCTACACATTTTGTATGTCTCTCTTATTTGACACAAAAATCAGTACATGGATATCTCTGTTATTAATGAGATGATTATTTAAACCAGGTTTATAGAATAAGGACGACATACAAAATGTGCATGGGTGGGGTGGCCCGAGGATTGGAACCACTGCACTAGATAATGGTGTTGAGTGGGAGACAGGTATAAATCAGGGGTGTCAACCCGCAGCCCTGCAGAGTTTAGTTGCAAGCCTGCTTCAACACACTAATGCTGTGGTCACACTAGAGTTTGAGCATACGTAATTCTGTCGTACGGCGCTGCGAAAAGGGGCGGGATTAAACAAGTGGATTAGATGTTTAAAAGGGAAGCAATTGGTCCATATAATAAACTTCTGTCCAGAGAGGTCATGTTTTGATCTTTGATTGGTCTTACACAGTCACGTGATGCGATTTCGCAGGTTTGAGTTCACCAAGCTTGAACTTGCACCCCAGTGGACTGCGAAACTTGTCGCACGAGCTTGCGTTTCCAGTCTGACGCATTCGCATACGTATAAATGGAAGTCTATGGGGAGAAAAGTGCAGTGTGACCGCAGCTTTACTTGTTTCAAACAAGCTTTAAGGACTCATTTAGTATGACCAGGTGTGTGTTCAATTAGGGTTGGAACTAAACTCCAAATTACAGGTCAGCTCTAAGTTGGTTGGATGTAAGCTGCAAGTGGACTCTACAAACCTCCTGGAGTTCTCATTGATTTATTTAATTTCTTGTACAAGACATGGGCTGCGTCCAAAACCGCATACTTTCATACTATGCAGTACGCTAAAATCAGTATGCGAGCCAAGTAGTATGTCCGAATTCATAGAATTCGAAAATCAGTATGCGAGAAGTACCCAAATGACTTACTACCGGCGAGATTCTGGAGTGCGCATCCTAAGCTATCCCATAATGCCCCGAGAGAAAATTTATGAATGGAAGTGAAGCGACGCAACTGACGCAGGTAGGTCACATGACTGACAAAATGGCGAATGTAGTTCGTCCGAATTCCATTCATACTTTTCACATTCTACTGTATAGAACGCACTTCTCTAACGGCTGAGTAGTATGTTTAAATTCAAATGCAGTACCTACTGAGTAGTAGGTGGTTTCGGACGCAGCCATGGAGTTCAACCTATTGTGTTTTATTAACATCTACACCTACCCCAACACTAAACCCAACCTCATAGTAACCTGTTGTGTTTTATTCATGTCTACACCCGGGGTGCAAAACCTTGTTCTTGGATATCTACCTTCCTGCGGATTTCAGTTGCAACCTTGATCAAACCCATCAGAACCATTAAATTAGGACCTGAACCGCACTTGATTATTACAGGTAGGTGAGTTTGATATGGGTTGGAACTGAAATCTGCAGAAAGGTAGATCTCCAGGACAGGGTTGGTCACCCCTTATCTTCACCTACCACAGACCTAAACCAAACCTATATGTGGCATAAATCCTTTCAACCCAGAGGTCACCCAACCTACTCTGTCTAACTCCCTGCCACTCGGGCGTCTCTGGGTGGCAGCCTTAATATTAAGTTAGTAAAATACCTGAGATTCAGCCAGAAGAAGTTGTCTGTACTTGTTCAGCATGTCTTTGATTCGTTTCAACAGAACAACCGAGAAACACTCAAACTGCTTGTCCACTGCACAAAGAATCACAAATAACCTCATCAGGATTTGCGACCATGTTGCAAAATCTAGTCAAGTTCTAACTTTCTGATTGGAGTCGAACCTGAGATGAAGTCCGCCTGGCTGGGAAGGGCTTTAGCACAAGAATGGTAAGGCAACAGATGTCTGACAGCATCCTCCACTGAGACAAACGGAGCTGAAGTGTTTGGGCTGAGAACAGCAGTGTGGTCCAAAAGCATCTGCTGTTTAACCCTGCCAAGAACACAAAGTAATTATGTTAACGAGCATCGTTATTGATCAAGAATTCACCGATTCATGATTCTGAGTTAATTGTCGCATAATATTCCTCAGCAGAATTAGACTGAAGACATTATACAGTAAATGAAAAGATGTCCTTTTATCCGGCTCTTGCTGCATGTTGTGAAATCAAAATATGACAAATCTAAATTGAAATTTTAAAGCAAGACCAGGTCAAATATTGAAAGTTATGCAAATAAAGACGCTTATTTCACTTACCTTTGTTGCTTCTCTGCTAATGTCAATTTCTCCTCTTTGAGGTCCTTGTATGTGGATGTTGTCTGGGATGGAAGAGATAATGATTCTGATTGGTCGATACCAACATTCTAAGGTATGTTATTCACCAATAATTAATCGAATAACAGCCTAATCAGGGTTAAAATCACAGATGCTTGAGATGTTACTTGAGATTTAACCACACTGGCCTGTAAGTTTCCACTGAGTCAGAAATAAGTATGACTGCTTTCATGACAGCTTTATGAAGCGGCAAATCCTTTATAAACCTTTTCTTTAAATCATGATAAAATTGGCAAAGTGATTTCAGTAAATGAGGCTTTGTTACGTCAAAACATTTGTAAATTCTTGTCAGTGCAATAGCCTAGTGATTAGTGCGTGACATATGGTGCAGTAGCACTTCAGGGCATCCCGTGTTCGAATCCCGGCTTGTGGACTTTTCCCGTTCCTACCCCCTTTCTCTGTCTCCTACTTCGCTTCCTGTCTAAAACAACTGTCCTATCTGCTTAATAAAGGCAAAAATGCCAAAAAAAATGTGTATTATTTGTAAATTCATTGATTCTACATGCATAACTTTGGCTAATATTCTAAAACCCACATGAATTATGCAGGTCCACTTAGATTGCCCCCCAGGGCTGAATCACTTAACAAGGTTCACTGGGTTTACCTGATCTTGGATCGGCTTTACTAAAATATAGACGTTTTAGTAAGACATTTAGAAAAATGAAAAGGAATAATGTTAGTTAATAGTCTTGCTGTCATATTAAGTAGTGCTCAACATGGAGTAATATAATAAAAGAATATAATATTTGCACCTGAAACTCCTTCTGAAGCTCTGAATAGGTCTTTTTGTCCAGGGGTTCCAGTCTGGGCTCAAGGTGTACCATCTCTTCTAGCTGGTCTGAAGAAATCATGCTCCTGTTGTTCTTACCATGAGGGACCGTGAGCTCTAATCAGGAGAGAGGCACATTTTAAAGACAAAATTACAACAAAATTATGACAGAAAATTAATTCATTTCATTTTCTTGTCTGCTTAGTCCCTTTATTAATCCGGGGTCGCCACAGCAGAATGAACCGCCAACTTATCCAGCAAGTTTTACCCAGCGGATGCCCTTCCAGCCGCAACCCATCTTTGGGAAACATTCAAACACACATTCACACGCATACTCATACACTACGGTCAATTTAGCTTACCCAATTCACCTGTACCGCATGTCTTTGCACTGTAGGGGAAACCGGAGCACCTGGAGGAAACCCACGCGAAGCCAGGGAGAACATGCAAACTCCACACAGAAACGCCAACTGAGCCGAGGCTCAAACCAGCGACCTTCTTGCTGTGAGGCGACAGCACTATCTACTGCGCCACTACTTTGCCCTGACAGAAAATTGTTGCTTTAAAAACTATATATGTACATGTAGTGCAAACACAAAGGAATCAATTGGTGAAGTTCATTTTCACAACATTACCACAGCATTATAGCCCCCAAAATTGGCTGTTACTACAAAACAGCAACCCGCATGCATATAATGTCGGATTAGCAGGCTGGTTATCAAACTGAATTAAGTTTCATCAGCATTTTTGTTTATTTTACCGAAGGATGCTTCCTCTCAAATAAATATTTGATAAGGTCAAATTGAAGCCATGATGTCTGTGGATACACTGTAAACAATCTTAAACACCTGATGAGCTGTAATCTAGCAGTGGTGATGGCCAATCCATTTCCAACATATTCTGCATGCAGTAGGCCAGGGGTGTCAAACTCAATTCCTGGAGGGCGGCAGCCCTGCACAGTTTAGTTCCAACCCTGCTCCAACATACTTGCCTGTAGGTTTCAAACAAGCCTGAAGGACTCAATTAGTTTGATCAGGTGTGTTTGATTAGGGTTGAAACTAAACTCTGCAGGGCTGCCGCCCTCCAGGAATTGAGTTTGACATCCCTGCAGTAGGCCAATCACAACAGACCAGCTCATCATTGGACCAATCACAACAAACTGGTTCATCAGAACCACAAAACAGTCAATAGACCTGGGGTCACCAATCTCGGTCCTGTAGGGCCGGTGTCCCTGCAGGGTTTAGCTCCAACTTGCCTCAACACACCTGCCTGGGTGTTTCAAGTACACCGAGTAAGACCTTGATTAGCTTTTTCAGGTGTGTTTGATTAGGGTTTGAGCTAAAATCTCCAGGACACTGGCCCTTCAGGAACAAGTTTGGTGACCCCTGCATTAGACCAATCACAGCCAATTAGCACAACTCAAAGGAGGCGTTTGGAAAAAATTATAATTGAGCAACTCAAGCTTTTGGAGACTCCCAAATCCAAAACTTTGATTTTTCGTAATTCATAAAAGGAGCACTTTAAGACATAGGTTCTCAGCTCTGACCCTCAAGATCCACTTTCCTGCAGAGTTCAGCATGAATCAAATTCAGCTACCTGTAAATTTATAGCCATTCTGAAGACATTGATTAGCTTGTTCAGGTATGTTTCATTATGGGTAAAGCAGAACTCTTTAGGAAAGAATACCTCAAGAGCCGAGTTTTGAATGACTTACCGTTTTCATATTGCATGTATTTCAGCATGTTCTCCTGGGTTGTTGGCTCTGTGGTTCTTCCATGCTCGGTTAGCACATGAGTTTGTCCCAGATGCGGCAGACATCTAAACTTCTCAGTGGAAGAAGAAGGGCTCTGACTAGAGGCCGGCCCTTCCTGAAATCTGGCATCAGAACCAAGAGCAACTGACATGGATGACTCCTGCACATCTGGTGCTGAGGTCAGCTCAAAGGATGTGCCGACGGTCCCTACAGAGCACTGGTCAATGGGAGATTGCAGAATATCACTGTGCTCTGAATGATGGTATAATGTCATAGAGCTCTCTTCGCTTTCACACAATGAAGGGAAAGTCTCAGATGCAGTCAAAGCTGTGAGCGAATGCTCCACTTCACTTGAGGCAGTAGAGATGTTATTGTCCATTTGCACGAGTACATTTGTAGCTAAGGACCTTTCGGTGTCTGACGAATTAAGTGTATACTGTAAACAAAGACAAACGGGGTCAAATGAAAGAGCTAAATAGATTTGAGAAAATATGACAGGACAGTTTTATTTACCTGTTGGGGAAGATGTATTAAAGCCTGTATTTGATGCAAAGGGTTCTGCTCTCCTTCGGGAAAGTGTTGCGCTCCTGTTTGGCTGATCAGTTGTGGGGATAATGACAAATCTGGCTCGGGGGTACAACTAGCATCTGGTGATGAGTGTAGTGATACTGGAGAGGGCTGAGGGTGAATCTCTACACTCGGTGATTCCGCTGAAGCTGGAGGAATCAATCTGCTCTCCTAAAATGAATTAAAACACGTTTATTACGTTTAGTACATGATCCATTGAAAAGTAAAACCAATGCTTTCAAAACTGTTATAACAAATATGATTTCGAAAGATTTTGTTTGAAAGCCTAAAGATCATTCCTAACGTTAACAGGGCTAGTCATGTCAAAAGTACTGACTTGGGTACAAATCGGTACTGAAATTTTTAAAAGGCAGCTGTGGTCTAATGAATAGAGAGTTGAAATTCTAATGCTGCGTTCACACCAGACACGGAACGCGCATCTAGCACGAGTGATTTACATGTTAAATCAATGCAAGCGCTCGAATAGACATACTGCTGCGCGACACACTCGAATGGCGCGGCATGAATGACGTGAATTGCGCAAATGGTGTGGTGCGAATGGCGTGGTGCGAATTGAGTGTTTTGCGCGTTTCGCGAGAATCGCTCCAGTTCGAAAATCTGAACTTCAGCGGACATTCAGCCCCGCGTTAACCAATCAGGAGCTTGCTCCTGTGGGGGCATGATTGTGATGAATCGTCTGTTGTTGGTGTTTCGGGGGAAATCCTCCAGCCGACACCAGCAAAAAGTTCATCAAACTGGGCTTGGCTCAGTCAGTAGCACGGCTGAAAGCCTCCGTCAGCCAGGTTTAGTTTCTAGAGGAGTTAAGAGCTCACAGATCTGGATGTACCTCTGAAATAATCTAGTGGACACAGACACGGCCCAAAATGTATCAACGCTGTTTTTCAGTCTTCATAAAGCACATAAACTGTTATTTTCTTCATAAAATCCATGTTAGCCATTTAGCTACAAAGCTAGAGTCACCAGGCAGACAGAAGCCCTGCACGACACACAAATCCGCGTCTGTTCTGAAGTGAATTTGACGTGTGAATGAAGCGGGGTTTGACGCGCGAATGAAATGAGTAACCTCAAATGTTCACATGGCTATTTACGCGCGAATATCGCAATTTATCCGCGAATTCCACATCTGGTGTGAACGCGGCATAATCCAAAGGTCGCAGGTTTGAGTCCCGGCACTGGCAGGGATTGTAGATGCGGCAAGGTAAAAGTACTTTTCACCCTCAATACTACAGCTGAGTTGAATATCTTGAGTACCGAATCCCCAACTGCTCCCTCTGCTTTTTCTGCTAACATCTGTGAGCTTCTTAAACATCACTGATTTTCATGCTCAACAAATATGACACAAACTGGATCTAAACATCGCTTCACTGAGGAAGAGTAAATGCTGATACAAGGACAAAGCAAGCATTTGATAGCCACATGTGATGACTGATCAACTGATAGTCCTGGCTTTCAAATGCTCCCACGTCCATATGACTGTTTAAGCACTCAGTGAAGAGCGTCAAGCCAAGTCATATTAGCTCTAATTCTACAAAATGGACTCCACGGGATATTCTGCCTTGATTTCCGTTTGAAGGGAGCATTCATCGATTCACACCAAACTTGGTGTGTGTTATGACAACTAGGGTCTGAGGTTATATGCGGAGTTTCGGCGCACTGCCCCCAAGTGGTCCGGAGATACAAAAAACTTGCTTTTTGGCTTATAACGTCTCAACCTTTCGTCTGAATCTCATAAAACTGGTCTCATTACATCCGGCAGAGCATGCCGAGTCAAATGATGTCTGATTTTTACAGATCAGACATTTCGATTTTTGGCCAAAAATGCTATATTTTACCAAGATATTCACATATCATTACAAAACATGGTATGCATCTTGGCACAATGATAGAGGACAGTCTTAACATTAATCAGACCAAACATGAAGTCTCAATATCAAACTCTCTAGCGCCACCACTTGTCCAAACGTTCACGTATGTTTATAATGATAACTTTTGAACCGAATGGGCTACAATCAAAACTCTTTTTTCCTCCAATTCCTTAGCTTAGTCCAATTCAAACGCAGCCTATGCCATCATTTTCCGTCATAAATTTTTTCGCGCTATTTTAAATTTTTCGAAAAACCTATTTGATCGAACTTGTCCTAGGCAGTTTCTCCAATTTTCACCAAAATTGAATCACATGATCTACAGACCATGCCAACCAAAAGTTATGGAATACAAGTTGATTAGACCAACCGTTTTCGCTTAACTTGCGATCAAATTTAACGTAGAACTTGCGAAAACGGACTTGAGGCGAAATCTCAATAACGCATTCACCGATTCACACCAAACTTGGTGTGTGTTATGACAACTAGGGTCTGAGGTTATATGCGGAGTTTCGGCGCACTGCCCCCTAATGGTCCGGAGATACAAAAAGCTTGCTTTTTGGCTTATAACGTCTCAACCTTTCGTCAGAAACTCATAAAACTGGTCTCATTACATCCGGCAGAGCATGTCGAGTCGAATGATGTCTGATTTTTACAGATCAGCCATTTTGGGCGTCGACCATTTCGATTTTTGGCCAAAAATGCTATATTTTACTAACACATTCACATATTATTACAAAACATGGTATGCATCTTCAACCCCATGTCCTGAAAGTACTCAAACTTCTGGAGCAGCGCCACCTTTTGGCCAAAAGTGCTTGGGCCCTTTATTGCTGCTTGCAGCTATATTTATTATTGTATTAATTTATGGAGGTATATTATGTCAAACTTCTTGCTTCTCTTGTAAGAAGATTCTACAGTTAGTGCTGATGTGCAAACCCTTGAATGAAAGGTACAAAGAGAAGATTTCTTGTGCTCGGGTAGAGAGCAATGATGGAGAAGGGAGTAAGGAGCAATGCACACTGTGAAGGGGACCTCACTCACTCACTACCCTTCAGCTTAGTCCCTGATTTATCATGGGTTGCCACAGCAGAATAAACCGCCAATCACTCTGGCATATATTTTATGCAGCAGATAGCCACAACCCAGCACTGGGAAACACCAATGCACTCTCTAATTCACACACACACACTCATACACTACGGTTAGTTTTACCCAATTCCCCTCTTGTATGTGTTTGAACTATGGGGGAAACTGGAGGAAACCCAAACAAACATGGGAAGAATGTGCAAACTCTATTCAAATGCCTATCGACCCAGCCGGGACTCGAACCAGCGACCACCTGTGAGGTGACAGTGCCATGGGGCCACACCATGTAGGAGACCTGTCAATTGGAACACGGTTCATGCGTGGAGCTTTTCTAAAAAACTAGTTATCTCAATTAGGTGTGGTAAATAAGCGAGACATGTTCAAATATATGCAGTGCAGAGGAGTGCGAGTACCAGAGTTAAGAATCACTGCTATAGTTAGGACTTACTTGAAGTGTTTCTTTGACTTTCCCTTCATCATCTATGGTCTTCTCAGGCAAGAGAAGCGCTGGATTGGAGATTAGGCTCATCTTCCTCTCAGGTCCCTCTGACAAAGCTCTTTGGTCTGGAGGCACCGTAGGCAGACTTTGCATCACTGGCTGACCGTTCACTATTGGTACGGTGGTCATATCAGAAATGAGCATATTGGCATGGTTAATCAGTGTGATCTGGTTTCCTACAGCGCTGTGAACTATTGCATCATGCTGCCCCTGCACTTGTGACGCATAGGTTCCTGCTATCTGTGCTGGCATCTGGAAGACTGTAGGAGGTCTAGACTGAATTGGTAAGGACCCCGACAAAAGGGCCCCTTGCTTTAGAGTAAGCTGTCCAGTTGGGGATGTAAAAATAGGGCCGAAGTTAATTTGCCTCGGCTGAACAGTCACAATTTGAGAAGACTCAACATTGGGTTTATTAGACATCTGATTGCTTGGTGCACTAAAAAGACACCTTGGAATGCTGGTAGACTGGGTCAAAGCTGCAGGTGCTTGGCTTGGCAGAAAAAAATGTCTCTGACCCTGAAAAGGATCCTGGGGCTGAAGGACAATGGGGCCTCCCTGACCAACTAGATTGAAGCTGACAGGTTTGCTGACACTCCCTGCGGACTGTGCTTGCTTGGGACCAACAGAAGGGGAGAACAAGACACTCTGTGATGTGTTGGCTGAGATGAAGGCAATGCCTGGCAAAGGTTTCTGTCCTGTTGGCCTGGGACTGATCTGTACAAGCCTCGGCTGGATGTTGACCGGTAACTTAGGCTGAATGGGTTGAGGCATTTTTTGTAACATGACCCCCGATGGAGCAACTGTTCTAACAGTGGAGGTCAGCATCTGGCGACCTATGAGACTCGGCAGGGACTTTTGGATAATCATGCTGGTGCTTTGTGCTGAATTAATAGAAAAGGGTGCCTCGAGTGGAGGTGTGGGGAAGACATTCCCAGGAAGCAGACTCATGAGCTGGGCTCCTGTAGGTTTGAGTGAAGGGCAGCCTGGGCCAACAGCTAATAACGATGGCTGTGGAGGCTCCACTGCGGTTTGGGTGTCCTTTGGTAATGAGATTAAACCAGGGATGCTCAATGGTTTGGAGAGATACGACGTTGCATCAGAGAGAGCAAGAGTTTCTGCTGTCTCAGCAAGACCTGCCTCTAATGCCAAAGTGTCTTCGGTGATGTCTGCCTCTTGGAGACTCTGCTGGAGAATGTCACAGATCTCTTTCTGCTGCTCCACGGTTTGGACATTGGGGTGTTCCTGCAACTCCTCTGGACTGCCTCGTCCCAGTGAGGATGCTGGTGATGCCAGCAGAGCTTCCTCCAAAAAGGAGAGATCCACACAGCCAGATCCAGGAGTGTCCTGAGAACTAGCATCATCTGCTAACAGAGATCCAGGGCTCTGCGGAACAAAAGGTCACAACAACATGTTAATAGACTGCCACACTAGCTGTGCTTCCATCCAAAGATGCAACTTGGGGCTTCAAGTGCACATGGATGGCTTGGCACAGCCTTCACCATGTCAGACAGTGACGCTGACATACACCTCTCAAAAACCATGCGTATCTCAAGCTCTGATTGGTCAGCTTGGTATTATTGATGAGTGTGGGTGGGGCTGAGAGCTGCGGGAGAAGAACGAGCCCATTGGAGCGAGTCCTGTCAGTTGTTGCACGTCCGTCAGTTCACATCTACAATTGAGCGAGTTTGGACTACTTGTACATGAAGATAGTATTACAGTTATAACCCCTGTGAAGGAACGCGAGACAAAGAACATAAAAACCTACAGCCAGCTAGCGCTTCAGAAGTGTTATTGCAGAGCAACAGCTGAAGTATAAATGCACGACTACACGCAATGCGTGAAGTTTATTTATAAACTATTTCCGAGAGGATCACGTGCTTACGACTGCTTGCAGCCGGCCCGGCATTATTCAATTTATGATTCATTATTCAATCAGACGATTCTTAAGCCACTATTAATACCCCCAAGTTCCAAATGACAGCCATCTTCGTTTTGAAGAATCCCCCCCCTTGCACCCCTACTCCTCCTCCTTTCCTAGATGGATGGCATGGTGGCCCAGTGGTTAGCACTGTTGCCTCACAGCAAGAACGTCACTTGTTTTAGTCTTTACCAAGCCAGCCGACATTTCTGTGCGGAGTTTACACATTCTCCCCGTGCTCATGTGGGGTTCCCCCGAGTTCCCCGGTTTCCTCCCACCATCCAAAAACATGCAACTTTAGTTAATGGACTAATCCAAATCAGCACCTTAGACATGCTCCTAGCAAGTAGTTATGTTGGCTTGAGAAAGCCAACATACTGTTATACTACTCTGTCCTTGAAAACAAACATATCTCCTCCTAGGCCGTTCATGCCACAAGGCCCAAATGTGGTCAAAATGTGCCTTCTGCATTCAAGATTGTTGCTATATCTCCTCATGCCTGTAAGACTTATCATTTTTTAAATAAAAAATGTTAAATATTAAATTTTTATAACCTGGGCATATAAAAAAAAAAAAATTCAAGCCCCAAATTTGGCCAAAAGCTGTATTAAGATGCGGTAGATTTTGTTGCTATATATTTAAGGTTTATCAGACTTATAGTTTTCCAATAAATAATTAAGCATAATTTTTCTCAAAATATGGCAAGCCATTTTGGACTTAAACTCCATATTCTTTACTGATATGGCAAGCCATTTTTGCATGTATCACCATCACACTTATTAAGCATTGTATTTTCAAAAAAATACAGCAAGCCATTTTTACATAATGTTCATTCCCTTAGTCCCTTTATTAATCAGGGGTCGCCACAACGGAATGAACCGCCAACCTATCCAGCATTTGTTTTACACAGCGAATGCTCTTCCAGCCGCAACCCTAACACCAGGAATACATAATGTTCAAGTCCAGTTTTTGACACTCATAAAGACTGTCATAGAAACATCGGGGTTGATTAAGATCACTCATATTGCAAAGAAGCTTTGATGTATCATCACTAACCTGTCAAATGTCCCCATAGCAATAAAACAGTATAACCTAGCAACCATTTAAAAATAGCAATATCTCTACATCAGAACATCGTAGGGACCTGGGCATTGGCTTGTTTGACTCATGCTAGCAAATGGGACTTCCTGTGTACTATGCATGGTAACAATGATAATGGAAGCCAAGTGCTAATAACGATTAGCTACATGCTATGAATGATTATCTAAATGCAATAACATATGCTAGAAATGCCTACTAAGTATTAGCATTTGATCAAACATGTACACGAGCATTGCCATTTAGCAACTGCTTAGCAACCACCTAACAATGCCATAAACGCTTGACTTTCTCAAGCCAACATCAAAGTTTATCAATGAACTTTAGGTTCTAGTTATCTCTTAAGAGCGATCACTGTCTGTTCATTAGCTACTACAGCAGGGGGAGTTCTCCAGATCTACCTAAGCTCAAACTCCCCTCTCGCCTTGCAAACGAGAGGGAGCCCCGGGCTCAAGGATCTTATGAGCTCAGGGCTCTCTCTCTGGACAGCATGCCACCATGTGAACTCTTGAAATGCACCGTGGCTCACATCGATCACTCGGCGCAGAAGCATAATTCAGCCTTTACACCAGGAATGGGCAAACTCGGTCATGGAGGGCCGGTGTCCGACAAGTTTGGCGTTAACCCTAATGAAACACACCTGTGATCTTGAAGACACTGATTAGCATGTTCAGGTGTGTTTGATTAGTGTTGGAGCAAAACTCTGCAGGGACACTGGCCCTCCAGGACCGAGTATGCCCATCCCTGCTTTGGACTTTTGCACAAAACTGAAATGGAACATAAAACATTTGCGAATGAAGCAGCGTTTCCAATGGGTCAAACAGAACAAAACTGTAACTTCCTGATAAACTTGAGCCAAATATCAAATAAAAATGGAGTTGGCTGCAGTAGGAGAAGCCCAGCGGGCCATTTTCTTATCATTCATTAATTTTCTTGTCGGCTTAATCACTTTATTAATCTGGGGTCGCCACAGCGGAATGAACCACCAACTTATCCAGCAAGTTTTAACGCAGCGGATACCCTTCCAGCCGCAACCCATCTCTGGGAAACATTCACACACACATTCACACACACACACTCATACACTACGGACAATTTAGCCTACCCAATTCACCTGTACCGCATGTGTTTGGACTGTGGGGGAAACCGGAGCACCCGGAGGAAACCCATGCAAAGGCAGGGAGAACATGCAAACTCCACACAGAAAAGCCAACTGAGCCGAGGTTCGACCCAGCGACCTTCTTGCTGTGGCGCGACAGCACTACCTACTGCGCCACTGCCTCGCCCGGCCGTTTTCTTATATAATAAAAGTAGTTCCTCTTTAAAAGACTTAACGTAATGAATGCACAGTGGCTTTTGGAGGTATGAGTTGCTCTTTTAAAGAGCAGACTCTCAAGTAATATAATAATATAATAATAATAAAACTGAACCACTGTGATGAAGGACTGATGGCTGAGGCAATTTAGAAAGACAACATTTCAGATTTTTTACAATATGATTGCTCTGCTAGTTTGTTCATTAATGTCGTCCCATCATGCCCATTTTATCATCACATAATTTGTCATTTTTTAATGTGATATTCCAAAATGTGCATTACAAATAGGTGGATGAAAACACTCCTAATATTAGGCGTTCAAATTTACAGGTCATACTTCTGATAATGAAAAGCTGCTTCTGTGAGACAGACAGACATGCACTACTGAGCTCTGGGAGGTCCCAGCTGAGTTAAATCTATATGCTTCTTCTGCTTCCACTGGGAGAAAGGTCTAGACTCACCGGAGTGTCTGTGAAGAGCGATGGTTCTCCAGAGGATGGATTAATGAGTAAGTCTCCACTTGACAGCTGTTTGAACAGAAGGGAGCAGGGATTGGTAATTGCATGGGGGAATGTTATAGATCAGGGGTGTCCAATCTTGCTCCCGGAGGGCACATGTCCTGCAGAGTTCAGCTCCAACACAGTTGCCTGGAAGTTACTAGTGAGTCTGAAGACCTTGATTAGCTGATGTATTTAATTAGGGTTGTCTCCAGAGGGGAGTGTCTTAATCATATGGTGTTATATATATATTTTATTATTCATTTATACCTGGTTTAATTTCTCATTATACCTTTTTGCTTAATATGTTAGGGTTAGGTACAGTTTTTATTTGTAAGAGTCTTTTGTAATTTTTTTTAAATTCTGGTTTGTGTTTGTACCATAGGTGCCATAATGGATACTTGCACATTCACATATTCGTTGTCTCTTCTATAATACAGTGCATGTTTCAGAAATTAAATACAAAGTTAATTTAAAACACATCCCAACTTACTCTTTTTATATGCACATGCTAACTTACCATATAAATTGATTAATGTCCATGGAAATTTGAATGTCGAGTGTAGATTTTGAAATTGAAATAACTTTGCATTTATTTCTGTTGCTCCAAAGAAAACCTCAACATATCTTGAACACAGCTGTGCATTGAAGAGTTGTGGGGGACGAGTTCATGTTTTATAAAATAGTCTTAAATCTGCAGGACAGTGGCCCTCCAGAAACCTCTGTTATGGATCTTGTATTTACACACAAAAACAAGAGTTTTTCCAGACAAGGTCCTTATCCAAGTTCCCTCGACCCCAAAACCAGTCAAATTGCATGGGTATATTTGTGGGAAAAGCCAAAAATACATTGTATGAATCAAAAAATGTTATTAAATGCCAAAAATCTGTAGAATATTAAGTAACGATAATTTATCGTGAAAATAAATCAAAACTAAAACAACCTTTTTGATTAGTAATGTGATTGGTTGCTTTATTTGTACAACTTTAAAGATGGTTTTATATTAATTTCTTACATTTATATAGCGTTTTTCTGGACACTCAACGCGCTTTACACATTTTTGGGGGGGAGGGGGGATCTCCTTATCCACCATTAAGGCTGATTTATACTTCTGCGTCAAACGCTGGCGTATGCTACACTGCTAACGCATAGCCCTTCGCCGTGACCGTCGGCGTCGTTGACGTGCACCTCTCAAAAAATGTAACGACGCGTAGCACAAGCTCTGTGATTGGTCAGCTTGGTAGCACTGACGATTCTGGGCGGGACCGAGAGCCGCGTGAATGGTGCGAGCCTGATGGAGCGATTGTTTACAAGTGTGGAGTCCTGTGAAGGAGCTCCGGATGGAAAGTTTTGTTTTGTGTTTACCTCATAGTTAAAGTTGTTGCACGTCCGCCGGTTGCTGCCTCAAAATAAACGAGTTTGAGCCACTTGTACATCCAGAAAGTGTTCAGGAAAAGCAAAACACCAGCGAAGAAACTCGACACAGATGAGCATTAACACCTCACTGCCAACTAGCGTTTCGGAAGTGTTAATGCAGACCAACAGAGACAGCGCGCTGAAGTATAAATGCACAGCTACGCCCGTTGCATGCGCTGTGGGTTACGCCGGTCACTTGACGCAGAACTATAATTCAGGCTTTAGTGTGCAGCATCCAACTGGATGACATGACGACAGCCATACTGCACCAAACCGCACACACCACCCAGTGATGAAGCCAATTATGATATGGGGATAGTTAGGAGGCCATGATAGACAGAAAACAGTGGGCAAATTTGGCCAGGATGCCAGGGTTAACCCTACTCTTATTCCAAGGACATCCTGGGATTTTTACAGAGACCACAGAGAGTGGTCGGTTTAACTTCTCATCTGAAAGACGACACTCACTGAGCAGTACAGTGTCCCCAATATACTGGGGGCATTAGGACCCACACAGATTACCCTGCTGGTCTCACTAACACCACTTACAGCAGCAACCATGTGGTCTCCTATCCAGGTACTGAGCGGGTGCAGCTCTGCTTAGCTTCAGTGGGCGACCATGTGAGAGTTGCAGAGAGCTAGCTGCCGGCTATTATAAATATTATACATTTTTGAACTTTTTTTTAGCTTACGTCCATGAAAAGCTTATTAGTTCAATCTAACCCCAACTTAATTTTGAAAAATGTACCTTTATGTCTGGTTTTCAACCCAAGTTCATTCTGAAAATGTACCTCAATATATATTTCTGGAGAGTGGCAAATACGTCCCAGGAGGTATGTTTTTTTTTTTTGTTTTTTTTTTTTGCAGTTTTTGTTTTCGAATTCACCAGAGGCCGCTGTGTACACTTTTACAGATCTCGAATTTTTTTCTCGAGTGCCATTAGCGTCTGCTGTTCTCGTGTAAATTCACCAGAGGCCGCTGTGTACACTTGTACAGATCTCAAATTTTTCTCTCGAGTGCCATTGGCGTCTGCTGTTCTCGTGTAAATCCACCAGAGGCCGCTGTCGACTAGCCTACTGACTAACTGAATGACTGACACATCGACTAACCCACACTCCTCTTTCCCTAAACCCAACTGATAGTGTTTTCCAAAGCACTGACTGACCTGCCTTCCCCCTTCCCTAAACCCAACCGACCGTTTTCAAAAGCAATCCGGAAAAAGAAAAGCCCTCGCCTGATTTTCACCACATTTTCAGATTTCACCACTTTCTCACCCTGTTATTTACTTGTTTATTTTATTTCTTGGATTCTGTTTGTGTTTTACCTGATTTCTGGAACCATTCTTCACTCCTGTCGTCATGATCAACTCCTCTCTGTCTCAAGTCCACCAACGTATATGGCGAACTAGCTGGACAAACTGCTAACAGCGTGAAAGCCGTCCATATGGAGGCAAGTGTTCAGCTGGTAAGCGCGAAAAGGAAGTGTCATACCACCCCTTAAAGACGAAATGCAGCCATACGTACTCATGGCTACATAATTCACAATCTCCAGAAATGTATACAGGGCTACGTTTTCAGAATGAGCCTGTGTTGGGTGGCCCAATCTAATATATGACCTCAAATTAACCACAGCTGAGGCACATTTTGGAGAAATGACTGCAACAGGTCATCACTAATCTGACAAACTGTAAAGATGATGTCTATATAGTGTGTTATGATCCTTTCATACCTCATTTGTCCCATGAAGAAAATCATTTAGGGCTTGAGGGTCACTGTTTAAAATAAAAAAAAAAAACATTTAGATGTTAACTTGTGAGTGAAACATTAGGAAAAATCTTCAGTGTGAATGCTTTATTAGTAGATGACACTTACCACAAAACATCCAGTAAACACGTACCATCTTCATCCTCCATTTCAACTGAAAATAAAAGACATTTGAGAAACATCTGAGACTATTCTTTAAATATAAAACACAAGCGTGCATCATTGGATATTATTTTACACACAATGCAGCATGCCTTTGCTTTCATATACACATTAAAAACATTTTACGTTAAATCAAATCGGTTTCACAAGTGACGTCAACTTCAGCATTGATTAAACTGACTTCGGGTTAAAATTTGTATAACCTAAAATGTAAAGGTGGTACCTGTTTAACTCAATATAATAATTATTAGAGTGTCTATGTGAAGATCCAGCTCAAAATACCACACAACTAATCTCTCTGAAACTGACCCGTTTAGGCTTTGGTGACTGTCGCTTTAAATGCAAATGAGATTGTGCTCTTTGTAGAAGAGGGCGGAGCTACAAATGCCTATGTGTCTGCATAGTGGCAAAAGCAGTTATGTTTATGCTAACGAGTGACAGATGGTCAATAGTGGGCGGGGCTTTCCCCCTCTGATGACACGTACAAAGAGAGAATGTCAATCAAATTATTTCTGCAGACTGTTCTTATCAAGTCTGATTATAAACAACACAATTAATACATGTTTACCGTTAGAAGCTGCTTATATTCACACACTTCTGCCACACAACTGTGTTTAAACCCCTTATAAACGTGATTTCCACATAATAGGTCCCCTTTAACATAAAACATTAAGCTAAAAAACATGATTAAGTGTAATAAGTTGTGTAAAGTTATTTATATGTAACATAAAAAACAGAGTTCGAGTGTCTCTGAATGTAAATATAGCGCAGTTGGTGTGTATTGAATGTGATAATGTCATGTGATTCTTGTGCAGTAATCTGGGTGTTGTGAAGGAAACCACACCTGGTTTTATGGTGGCTCCATTCAGAGAGTTGGGGGAGACTTCACTGATTGCATTTCATTGAGTGGGTGAGAGGAAACACACACACTTGAACACTCTCTTCAGTGAGGACATCACGAAGTCTGCGGGATCTGAGAAAGACGACATGATATATATATATATATATATATATATATATATATATATATATATATATATATATATATATACACACATACACACACACACACACACACACACACACACACACACACACACATATATATATATATATATATATATATATATATATATATATATATATATATATATATATATAAGTAATACGCATTAAACAATACTATAGTAACATCTGCCAGTTTTTCAGGACTGAAGGTGAGTAAATCAGCCTTTATATTTTGAATTACAAATTTTATTCATTTATTGTGGAGTCTAATGATTCTTCAAATTGTTTTTTGTTTATGTATTATGTATTTTTATGTATTTTATGAATGTATATATATATATATATATATATATATATATATATATATATATATATATATATATATATATATATATATAATATATATATATATTACCTGACAAAAGTCTTGTCGTGGATGTCAGTTGTAGAAGCAACAAATAATAACTTGACTTCTAGTTGATCATGTGGAAAAGTGTCAGAAGGTGGATTTTAATAATCATCTGTTGATCTGCATCCCAATCATCACCAATACTGCAGAAGACCTACTGGAACCAGCATGGAGCCAAGATTCTCACAGAAATCAGTCAAGTTGGTGAAGGAGAAATCATGGTTTGGGGTTCATTCATTATGGGGGCGTGCGAGAGATCTGCAGAGTGGATGATCAACATCAACAGCCTGAGGGATCAAGACATCTGTGCTGCCCATTACATTACAAACCACAGGAGAGGGACAATTCTCCAGCAGGATAGCGCTCCTTCTCATACTTCAGCCTCCACATCAAAGCTCCTGAAAGCAAAGAAGGTCAAGCTGCTCCAGGATTGGCCAGCCCAGTCACCAGGTATGAACATTATTGAGCATGTCTGAGGTAAGATAAAGGAGGAGGCACTGAAGATGAACACAAAGGATCTTGATGAGCTCTGGGAGTCCTGCTGAAGGCTTTCTTCTTCATTCCAGATGACTTTATTAATCAGTGATTTGAGTCATGTCAGAGATGTATGGATGCAGTCCTCCAAGCTCATGATGGAGTCAGACACAATATTCATTCTGTCTCCACTGCAGCAGGACTTTATATTCTATACTGGACATTATTTCTGTTCAGTGATGAGACTTTAGTCTGAGCAGAGTCAGATCTTACTGTCCTAATCAAATCATTAATAATCAAGGCATGATCAGATTTTATTGGACTCAAATCAGCGTCATCTGGAGGCCTTTACCTTTCATATAAGACACTTCTGACACCAAATGATCAATTAGAAGTCGAGTTATTATTTGTTGTTACTAAAACAAAAGTCTCTTCAAGGAAAGTCATTTCACTCAGTGGCCATCTTCGAAACGCCTCTTGGGCAGTATGCCTGGGCATTCTGTTTGAATGGGAAAACATCAAATTCTCCAAAACTGCTTGCCAGTTGTCTGGTCTGAGCCCCTCCCCCGGAGATTTGTCATTCTATAGCAATATCTGATTGGTTTCTGTACTAAAAGGTGAGGCTTCATTCGCCATATTGCGATTGCTGATTGGCTCCTGTACTAAAAGGTGAGGCTTCATTTGCCATATTGACTGTTACACTTTTGCCCATTCAAAAGTATTTGAGTGACATATCTTGTGTATTCTATAATCTTTACTAAAACCTGGATAGGGTACAAGACTTTTGTCAGGTAGTGTAAGAATTTACCGGAATTTTCCCCCTTTATTTGGAGCGTACATGTTATGTTTTTGTTTCTATTGGATGCCTGAATTTTTTGGGGACAAATAAAGTATTAAACTTATCTAAACTAAACATCTCTACAAGTGATAAGACAGTTCAGAGTAGAACACTTGAGTTTTGGGTCATTTGTTTATATTACTATAGCTGTCCTGTTACCATAGCAACTGCAGAATCACCACAACCGATTAATTACTATAGTTGTTCTGTTACCACCATAGCAACTGTAGAATCACCACAACAGATTTATTACTATAGCCGTTGTGTTGCCATAGCAACTGTAGAATCACCACAACAGATTGCTATAGTTGTCCTGTTACCGTAGCAACTGTAGAATCACCACAACAGATTTATTACTATAGCTGTTGTGTTGCCATAGCAACTGTAGAATCACCACAACAGATTGCTATAGTTGTCCTGTTACCATAGCAACTGTAGAATCACCATAACAGATTAATTACTATAGTTGTCCTTTTACCATAGCAACTGTAGAATCGCCATAACAGATTAATTACTATAGTTGTTGTGTTACCATAGCAACAGTACAATCACCACAACAGATTACTATAGTTGTCCTGTTACCACAGCAACTGTAGAATCACCCCAACAGATTAATTACTATAGTTGTCGTGTTGCCATAGCAACTGTAGAATCCCCCCAACAGATTAATTACTATAGTTGTTGTGTTACCATAGCAACTACAGAATCCTCACAAAAGATTACTTCAATTACTTTACTATAGTATGGTTCAAAACACTATTTAGTATTTACAATTAATTACAAAGGCAAACTCATATTGAACTGAAAGTGACTGAATTCTCCTGATTATTTTGTATTTATACGTTTATATATTTATTTACATTCTATTCATTTATTTATTTTGGAATCATTAGACTCTGTTTTATTGTTGCATCTGAAAATTTGCATATTTATGACAGTAATGACTTGAATAAGCAATATTTTATATATTTCTCTCTCTCTCTAAGCAGTATTTTTTTTTATTTTCCTAATTTTTCTTTCAGTATTTGTAGTGTACATGTGTTTTCATTCATGTGTTTTATGTGGATGCTATTGAAATGATCTTTGGGATAAATAAAGTATTACTTTAGCTTCTACTACAGTAAACTGTGATGTATTGTAGTATAATATACCCTAGTTGTAGAAAACTACAGTATTGGGTCATTTGTTTATAATACTATAACTGGTGGGTTGCCATAGCAACTATAGAATCCACACTAGTACACTTCAAGACCAGTGTTTACCATGAATGACTATAGTATTAGTGCACGTTTCTTAGGAATTGGCCTTTATAAACAAGACACAGTGTACAACCATAACCCTTCAATAATATAAGGCAGCCATTTAACCGTGTATTTATTTACATTTTTCTGCAATATACATAATGTAACGGCAGTTATGTAATCCCTGGAACAGGCTAATATCAGAATAGCTAACATTGCTGCAGACTGACACCTTGAAAACAACCCACAGCTAATAGAGAAATATTCCATTGACTTCCATTGAATTCCCGTTCTCCTGAATTCTCCATTGACATTGAGTCGCATTGTGCGTGGATGCGTTTACCCATTTACACCCGCAAAACACGCACTGTACATTTAATGCGAGATATAACTATAGCCTATTTCTGCAACAACAACCACCACAAATCATGTTCCCAGGTATGAGGAGCACAAAGCGCGCTCATGTAACGCAGCGCTGTAACGCGCTTATTCTAATGCGGCGTTTAATGCGGGAAAACGCAGAGCAACTCACCCTCGCCTTTGTGCGTTTTTATTGTCCTTCCAGACGGGCCTGTGCGGCATCCATCCCCGCACACATGCTGATGGAGGAGGAGGAGGAGGAGGAGACGGGTGGGAGAGGAGGATAAACACAGAGGTGGAGGCGTGTGCATGTGCGCGCGTGGATCCCCATCATCTTCACATTCAATAAATGAATGAACGAACGTCACGAGAGCGCGCTTCCTTCAAAGTCCACATGAGATCAAAACTAACCACATTGATATTGTTAGTTTTGTGAACAGCTTATCTGTGCTTGTGATAGAAGAAAGTGCCCTTGTAATCTAAAATTGAAAGCGCTTCCAGTTTGTTCTCAGATCAGGTCTGAGGTGTTGGGCGTGGCTAACACACTTAACCACGCCTCTTCAGCTGTCACTTTTGACAACTGACAGAAATGGTGAGCAGGAGGAGTCTGTTAGGTTGTAATAACTCTCCCCAAACCCTTTTCGGCATGTTTCTAATGAAGCGCCTACTTTACTACAACCAATCAGCTCACAGTAGAAAAAGCAAGCCACGCCCATTTAACTGCGTCACAATACAAAAATAAAAACGGTCGCAGCTTTCAGTTCATGCGTATGGAAGCATATGAGTAGCATAATTCAATTCAAAATGTAATATGCAAAATGGCAATGCAATATGTTAAATGGCAATGAATTTCTGTATTTGAATTTGCATTTTCCAAGACATATGAGCAATTTTTGGTGCAGAATGAAAATGAAAATTAAATTACATTGTTTGCATTTCTCATTTCAAACACTGTTTTAATATGTAAATTGTATCCACATTTTAAAGCTTTATAAGTAGCTAAATTAAATTGAAAATGCTATACACAAACTGAATTTGATGTGAATAAAGTAAAAGCAGAAACTGTAGCAAAATGATCATTTAAATGTTATTTGTCCTAAATGCATTTACACTCGCATCTAGGAAATGCAGGATTACATTTTCAGCATAACAGCATGGGATGTGTGTAGCAAAATTAATTTTGAAATGTAATACACAAAACGATAATGCAGTATGTAAATGGCAGTGTATTTCTGTATTTCAGCTAGCATTTTCCAAGACATATGTGCAATGTTTGCTGCAGAATGAAAATGAAAATGAAAAAAAACATAATGCATTTTCATTTAACACATCGCGACGAATGAAAGCCGATTTGAAATTGAAAATGCATTCTGGCCTGGCCACGCCCACAGACGGCCACCGTTGCTGCAAGGCAGGTTTTAGGGTATGTCGTCACAGCTGCAGCGAGGACTATTTGGGACATTTGGCAGCATAAACATGGCGAAGTCTGTTCCTCAGCGGCTTCGTGAAGCTGCACGAGCCCTCAAACGTGAACTGGGAAATACTTTAGAAAGCCAATCACCTCCTAGCTCAGTAAACCTGGCTTAAGGTGTGATATTCGCGCACGCAGTTTTAGGGATCATCTGCAAATTACATCGACAGAACCTAAAGGGGCTTTAGCTGATGTGTACTGTATGCTTATGACAAGAGCTATTGCCCATTTTTGCATTGTATGTACCATATAGTTAGAGGTATAGTAGCTTTGCTACCTGTATTAAATCTAACCATTTATTGGAATCTCCTGAATTTTTTTCTGCTTTGCGTTACTGTGCGTTTTGGTTCTGTTGATGTAATTTGCAGATGATCCCTAAAACTGCATGCGCGAATATCAAACCTAAGGCTAAGTTTACTGAGCTAGGAGGTGATTTCTTTTCTAAAGTATTTCCCAGTTCACGCTCGAATGCTCGTGCAGCTTCACGAAGCCGCTGAGGAACAGACTTCGCCATGTTTATGCTGCCAAATGTCCCAAATAGTCCTCGCTGCAGCTGTGACGACATACCCTAAAACCTGCCTTGCAGCAACGGTGGCCGTCTGTGGGCGTGGCCAGGCCAGAATGCATTTTCAATTTCAAATCGGCTTTCATTCGTCGCGATGTGTTAAATGAAAATGCATTATGTTTTTTTTCATTTTCATTCTGCAGCAAACATTGCACATATGTCTTGGAAAATGCTAACTGAAATACAGAAATACACTGCCATTTACATACTGCATTATCGTTTTGTGTATTAAATTTCAAAATTAATTTTGCTACACACATCCCATGCTGTTATGCTGAAAATGTAATCCTGCATTTCCTAGACGCGAGTGTAAATGCATTTAGGACAAATAACATTTAAATGATCATTTTGCTACAGTTTCTGCTTTTACTTTATTCACATCAAATTCAGTTTGTGTATAGCATTTTCAATTTAATTTAGCTACTTATAAAGCTTTAAAATGTGGATACAATTTACATATTAAAACAGTGTTTGAAATGAGAAATGCAAACAATGTAATTTAATTTTCATTTTCATTCTGCACCAAACATTGCTCATATGTCTTGGAAAATGCAAATTCAAATACAGAAATTCATTGCCATTTAACATATTGCATTGCCATTTTGCATATTACATTTTGAATTGAATTATGCTACTCATATGCTTCCATACATGCGGACATAAACGTTAATAGTACAGCGATTTATATTTGACAGACAAGACCATTTAAAATAAAATAACTTATTTAGTTAAAACCACATCTTTAAGAACAAAATGGTAATACACTTAAATTTGAATGTTATTGCAAACTGGGCGACGCAGTGGTGCAGTAGGTAGTGCTGTCGCCTCTCAGCAAGAAGGTCGCTGGTTCGAGCCTCAGCTGGATCACTTGGCGGTTCAGTGTGGAGTTTGCATGTTCTCCATGCGCTCCTGTGGGTTTCCTCCGGGTGCTCTGGTTTCCCTCACAGTCCAAAGACATGCGGTACAGGTGAATTGGGTAGGCTAAATTGTCCGTAGTGTATGAGTGTGAATGAGTGTGTATGGGTGTTTCCCAGAGATAGGTTGTAGCTGGAAGTGCTGCGTAAAACATATGCTGGATAAGTTTGCGGTTCATTCCGCTGGGGCAACCCCAGATTAAGAAAGGGGCTAAGCTGAAAAGAAAAAGAATAAATGAATAATAATTAATAATAATAATAATTTAACAATAAAAAATATAGGTCAGATCAGCATCATCAGCAGTAAATAAATGAAGATTCATTCATTTTCTTTTAGGCTTAGTCCCTTTATTAATCTGGGGTCGCCACAGTGGAATGAACCGCCAACTTATCCAGCACGTTTTTACGCAGCGGATGCCCTTCCGGCCGCAACCCATCTCTGGGAAAATTGTGTAACACTTACATAAATAAAGGAAACTTTAACACCTGTCAAAAAAAATATTTAAAACATACAACACAACATTTCAGTAGATTTAAGACTTTTTTAAGGCCTAAAATTGAGTTTTTTAGATTTAAGACATTTTAAGACTTGTTAAGGCCCCGCGGACACCCTGCAAATAGCAATGTGTGCATGTTGAAACGATCAAATTTCCCGCGGTTTAACAACTTTTGACACTCATTGCTCTCCATATTTGTTGGTAGAACGCCTGCGCTATTTTAACTCGGATTAGCTAGTATCATCCAGAATATCAGAAAAGTTCACGTTTATTAGAGTCACAGATCCATGACCGGATGTTTTCCTCTTATGAGCTCATCACCTGCGGAGTTGACGTAATTCTGACGTCATCGACAGTAATGTTCCCGGAATGTGTTCCCGCCGTCAAGTTTGAGATTAAAAATGCGTCACTTTTATTATTTGGCCTCGTGTTTCTGCCTGGCAAAGCAAATACTGGACATTTCCTGAACAAGTCGTGATGACGTAAAACTCGAACATGTTAGGAGTGGATTATTTCATTTGTCGTTTAATTACTTTATATTGTTATTCATGCGCTTTTCTCAGTTAATTTCTGTGCCTTTTTCTGCTACCATATTTTACCGTTTAGTAACTTATGAAACCCTTGAAATGTTTGCCAGAGGCATTTAAGAGGCAAATATAAACTAAACTCGCAAAATAATTCCTTTATTTTCCTTTGGCTTGCTCCCTTTATTCATCCAGCATATGTTTTCCACAGCGGATGCCCTTCCAGCTGCAACCAAGTACTGGGAAACACCCAGACACTCTCACATTCACAAACACACTCATACACTATGGCCAAATTAGTTAATCAGTTCACCTATAGCGCATGTCGGATCACCCGAAGAAAACCCACGCCGGCACAGGGAGAACATGCAAACTCCACACACTGAGCCACCATGTCGCCCAAATTAAATATTTTAGTAAAAATGGATCAAACTTCTTCCCAGAGATGGGTTGCGGCTGGAAGGGCATCCGTTGCGTAAAAATGTGCTGGATAAGTTGGCGGTTCATTCCACTGTGGCGACTCTAGATTAATAAAGGGACTGAACCGAAAAGAAAATGGATGAATGAATGGATCAAACTTCTAGCCTTGCTGCTATTAGAAACATTGAGTCCTCATCACTAGATGGCGCTACACCCACGATTACAGTAAATACTAATAACTAAGCATGAACTGCAGAGCTTCTCAAAGCCCGGACTCTTGTCCGGATCCTTACGGAAAAGTAACTTGATAAAGAGAATCGACAGTTCAAGTGAATATGCAGATAAGTAAAGGTTTATTTTACCCCAAGAAACGCCACTATGAAAAGAAACACGGACGTTTTGAACGGTAGTAACCACAAAAATACAGACATAAGGACCGCAAAACTACAACACCTGAAGTTTTGAGAGAGGTCTGGATGCAGACCAGGGGGCTGGTTCATAAAAGTGGTCAAGAAGAGCGGGGATTAAAGTAAAAAAACTGACTTCAATGAGCCGCACCGGTGGGAAAATCTCTTTAAATAAAAGTGAGGCTACCGCTCGGCCCGGATCCATCACCTGATTATACCACTCAGGGTTTGCAGCTTTAAAGTCCTTCTTAAAATAATGTAGTTGCTTCTTAATATCAGTCATTGCTTTCTTAATATATTTCCTTTATTAAATTTTGTAATTCATATACTACATATTTAGCAAAGTACATCCCTCAACATTTTAAAGTAATATTTTCTTCAGAATGCTTCACGATAATATGTTTGTGCATATACATTAGATTATTCAGTGCCAAAGCAAAAATTGAAGCTAATCTAACAACAAGTAAACTGAAGATCACAGTCCACAAATGAGTACATAATATGTTATAATATGCTGAGTAAAATTATAAAGTAAAATTTTAATAAACAGGAAAAAAAATCAACATAAACATTAAAAAAAAAAAAGAGTTTAAATGTTGAAGTTTGTATTTGTTTTGTTTGCAATAACATTCATTCATTCATAGTCCCTTTATTAATCCAGGGTCGCCACAGTGGAATGAACCACCAACTTATCCAGCTCGTTTTTACGCAGTGGATGCCCTTCCAGCTGCAACCCATGTCTGGGAAACTTCCACACACACTACAGACAATTTAGCCTACCTAATTCACCCGTATCGCATGTGTTTGGACTGTGGGGGAAACCGGAGCACCCGGAGGAAACCCACGCTAACACAGGGAGAACATGCAAACTCACAGAAACGCCATCTGAGCCGAGGCTCTAAGCAGCAACCTTCTTGCTGTGAGGCGACAGCACTACCTACTGCGCCACTGCATCACTGTTTGCAATAACATTTGAATTTAAGTGTATTACCATTTTGTTCTTAAAGATGTGGTGTATGTATATTTACTATTACATGACTGAAGTTTTATTCATTATTAAGAGGTTAAGTGAATTAAAATGACATCAAATTACAGCAGGTGAATGTTAACATTAGCTTGATTAAGCTTGAACTTCACTAAGCCTGAGAGTTAGCCTGCCCCGGACAGGCTAGTTTCCCAGCATATGTTGCCATAGTAACATTTAGTACTATCGCAAATTTGATTTATGACACCGAATCCGCCATTAATAAACCTGACTTACCAAAATAAGCCTGGCTTGTTCCTCTAAGCTGGGTTTATGGACTAAACTAAAACTATAATACAATTTAATTTATGCAAATAAAAAGTTATTGTAAGAAAGATAAATACAACATATTGCTTTTTGGTAAATGGAAAAAGTAAAAAAGTTTTTAGACTGAATAACTGGTAGCGATGATTGGGTAACTTCACATAAAGAAAGATTAAGACACGTTTAAAATGATTTAAGATGTACAACACAAAATTTCTATAAATGTAAGACCTTTTAAGGCCTAACATTTTGTTATATACACATATATTTTTTATTAAAAAGTCAAAATTGCGAGTTTTTAAGCCAGAATTACGAGTTAAGTAAATCAGAATTGCAAGTTTAGCAAGTCAAAATTGCGAGTTAAGTCAGAATTGAGTTATTAAGTCAGAATTAGGCGTTAAGTCAGTCAGAATTACGAGTTAAGTAAATCGGAATTGCGAGTTTAGCAAGTCAAAATTGCGAGTTTTTAAGTCAGAATTGCGAGTTAAGTAAGTTAGAATTGCGAGTTATTAAGTCAGAATTAGGCGTTAAGTCAGTCAGAATTACGAGTTAAGTAAATCGGAATTGCGAGTTAAGCAAGTCAAAATTGCTAGTTAAGTCAGAATTGCGAGTTATTAAGTCAGAATTGCAACTTAATTTCGAATTCTGACTTTATAACTCGCAAGTCTGACTAAATTTGTTTTTAATTATTATTTTTTTTTAATTCAGTGGCGGGAACGGGGTTCCGTACTTTAAAGGCTCGTACAAACCAGGACGCTTTTCGTTTGAATTTATCGTTAGCGTTTTCAAGACGTTTTTCCGGATTTAAACCCAATCGATTTTCACTGGCGTCAAACAAAAAACGAGCATGGGGTATTTCTTTTTTAAATGACGCTTTTACGCCTGCCATATTGCGCGTTGGTGTGCACGATCACATTGACGCCCTTTATTTAGTCACGAGGCGTTAAACGTTAACAGAAACGAGAGCAATAAACGTCTTGGTGTGCACGGGCTTTAAGACCTCGCAGACACCCTGCATTAATACTGCAGTTCTGTCGTCGTGTGAACAAAAAGCAAAACACTTGCCATTTTACAGCATCTTTATTTATATAAAAATACAAAAAAACGTAATACTTAAAAAAAACAAAAAGCAGTTTCCATAGGAAAGCATAATAGATGCAATCCCATCTCTTTCACGTCCGTTTCAAATGCACCAGTGGCATACAAGCTCAGCTCTGAATAATTATAATACAAAGACTTCAACTCAATATTAAAAAATTAAGTTACTAATCAAGTATAAAATGGAAATGGTCACTGAGGAAGAGGAAGAAGTCCTCGCTCAAGCATCTGGCCTCGAAATACAAATACAGACAATCAACAAAAACCAGTTAAAACAAAGATAACAGGAAATAAGAATTGGACTGTGCGTTTGTTTTCTCCTCAGCTCTGAGGCGTTTAGATCAGAAGTTGGAGATCAGTAACACAGATCTGCATTAGCTGGACCCGAGAGCAGGTTTGGTTGAGCGTCTTCTGCTACAGCACTTGAGTCGGGCAGGGTTTGGCGGGAACATCCAGACTGCTCTCGCGCCCGCAGTGGGATGGCACGTTTCCAGCGCTCGGCTCCTCCAATGGAAGTGCAGGAATCCCCTGGGCACGAATCTGCTGCATGCACTGCCTGCAAACACACACACACACACACAAATCACACACCATCAGTCAAAAGCAACTCCATCTAGCCTTTAACAATCATTTACTTGTCTAAGAGATGCTGTTAGGTGGTTCAAAATGTTTAATACTCCATATAATCAAAGGAGACCTGCTATTTGCCTTTTTACAACATGTAAAATAAGTCTCTGATGTGTCTAGTGTGTGTGTCTGTGTGTGTGTGTGAGGTTTCAGCTCAAATCAACACGCAGATAATGTTCTCTACCTCTCTGAAACAGACCCTTTGATCTTAATTGTGGTGTTTTGGTGACTATCGCTTTAAATTCAAATGAGATTGTGCTCTTTTTCAGAAGAGGGCGGAGCTACAAATGCCTGTGTGTCAGCATAGTGGCAGATTTAATGACATTTACAATAGTTTTGGAGCAACTTCTCCTTTAAGTAAATGTCCATAGGCAAGTCCTTTTGTGTACTAAAACAAAACTTGCTAGTAATATCATCTGAATATGATTTACATATATTGTTAAAGCTAACTATAATCATAACCCTGAACAAATTCAGAGGTTATCCAGAATTAATCTCATTAATTTGCTGCTTAACATCAGTGAGCTGTATTTGTTCACGCTGTATGAATAGTGTGTCCCTTAAAGGGTGTGAAAAGGCCAGGTGTATTATGGCATTTTGATTTGATTGACAGCCAAGTCAAGCCCGCCCAGATAACGCATAGCACATCTGCTTCTGAAGTCGACAGTGCAGTTCTATTTAGGCTGGCTAATGGCTTGATCTAGATGGTCTGATATAGATTGGTCTCAACCTGGATTCCTGGAGGGCTGTAGCTCTACAGTTTTACTCCAACCCTAATCTAACACAACTGATACAAATAATCAAGGTGTTCAAGATCACTAGAGACTATTATTGATTTGGAGCTGGTTTAAGCTAAACCATGCAGAGCTGTGGCCCTCCAGGAATTGAGTCTGAGACCACTGATATAGTGGCTTATTGTGTGGCTAAGTGTCTGTGTGCTTCGAATACCTAGTTTATAGTGTTGTAACTCAAACTTTGAATGACGATTAGAGCACATAATTGTAAATTCATCCAGGTCGCGGGTGGTGTGTGATCCGAGTAAATGTCATTATTAAATGATGCACATGTTTATATACTGTTCGATTGTGTTGATGTTTACTTTACTGAAGTGTTAAGTGATGTAAACGCCACGTTTAATCAGTATTTGGACATTTAGGATCGGTCTTATCTGTTTATGTTTCTGATGCATATTTAGACCTGATGCCCTATGAATCTTTGATTATGTGCTATAACTGATGTTACACATTATATTACTGTATATGTTATACAAACTGCAGTTTAATCTATTGTTAAACATTCTATTTTGTTTCGAGAAAATACCACACACATGTGCCTTTATGACTGTGCAGAATAAATGCTGTAGAAAATCCGCAAACGACAAAGCCGGACTTGTGCGTTCTAACCAATGCCCCCTGGTGATCACATCTCAAACAGTAGATCCATTGACATTTAACAAAGCTCACCAACAAAGGGACCGTTCACTCAAAAATGAACCTTCTCTCACTGTTTACCATTCCTCAAGTGGTTAAAAACCTTTATAAAAAGTTGTTTTATTCTGTATTCTGTACACAGAAGATATTTATTTTTTGGGTGAACTGACCCTTTAGCACTGCGCATCGTCTAAAAACGCAAAAGATGAACAAAACAGCCCCCCAAAGTCATGTAAAGGAGTTCCCATGTGACACTTACCAGGCTGTTCGGGACATGATGTAATAAATATCGGGTTTCTGGAAGCCATTGAAGGTGGAGGATGCGGCGACGGTGTAGGCGCCCATGTTCTCGAACAGCAGCCAGTCGCCCACCTGCATGTCCGGCAGGCTGCACTGCTCCACAATGCGGTCCAGACCGTCGCAGGTCGGGCCCCAGATACTGCAGGGGTACATGCGCTCATCGGGCTTGGGTTTCTGCATGGAGAGCAAGAGTTATGGGTAAGGAAATGAGGAATAAAAATAAATAAATAAAATCAGATGCTGCGTCCCAGTTCACGTTCTCAAATGGAACGTGTTCCAAATCACACAATGTGGAAATGGGTATTTAAAAGACTCGGGAAGTGCTTTGGAATGCGCACTTTTCTTCGACGTCTGACGTAATCTCAACTGAAACAGAAAGGGTGGGACAGAGTAGCTCCTCCCCTTTTAAAAAAACAGCCAATAGCTTTCGGTTTTCTCACAGCTCTGCCAGCGAGTGGTCGAGATCAAACACATCAAATGAAAAAGCATATGAGAAGGGGGTGGGGCATCTCAGACATGAGTAAGCATCTGATTGGTCAGAGGACTTCATGAGAGAGTAAAGTATGAGGTGATGTCAAAAAAATCGTTAATCCATTTCGAAGTTACAAATTGCAAGCTTTGGAAGTTTATATCAGGTTTATATGTTTTAAATGTGAATTTTGTCACCGTTTAGAGCACACTAGCTTATAGACATCTGTAAAACTAACATCTAAAAAACAACAACTTTATTTTAAATTCACGGAACCTTTAAGGTTATCCAGACAGTCTACCGTTTCTGGTAAATTTGTAAAAGCAGATCCGTGCTAACTCTAACAGCTAATTTTAAAAGCAAGATTATTTATATAGCACATTTAAAACACAATGGTAATTCAAAGTGCTTTACACTAGTGTTGTCACAATAATGAAATTCGGTACTAATCAATACTAAATTTTTTAAACGGCCATTTCCCGCTAACATTTGAGCGCGTTCTTAAACAGCGCTGATTTGCCATTGTGTTCACGTGCTCAACAGAAATGACTGTGATTGGCCGTGAAGGTCATCAGTTCACCGAACTCACCACTGTTAACCGTGTGATCGCTACAGCAGATCGCTCGCATGTCAGCTTGCTGCTCAACGTAACTTTACAACGCTCCCGTGTTCCTGTATCTTTGGTTACACTCAGTAAACAGCGGTGAGTTCGGTGAACTGATGACCTTCACTGCCAATCACAGTCATTTCTGTTGAGCACGCGAACACAAACAGCCATTCGGTGTTTAAGAACGCGCTCCAATGTTCGCGGGAAATGGACGTTTATAAATTTCAGTATCGACTGGAACCAATTTCCAGTATTAGTAGACAACACTACTATACATAAACAAGAATAAAAAAAATATAAGGAAGAAAATTAAGTTAAAAATGACTAAAGAAGATCAAAAATAAAGACACAGCTAGCGTGATATGTCGGACGTAATAATGCAAGTGTGGTTTTAGTCTTAATTTAAATCTATTACCCATAATGCATTGCATTGGATCTTACTTCGATTAGAAGTATAAACACAAGTAAAAAAATAGTCATGGTGGATGTGTGAGAGCGACGGTTAAGTGAAGGCTTTGGTTAAGATATTTAAGCAATCGTTAATATACATTAACCTAATTACGTTTCCTTTAATGTTTCAGTGTAGTATTTCATCAACCATTACCATGCTGCTGCTTCTCCTATATGGTAGGTATTTAAATATGAAAGTTTTGGCACCTGTCAATCACCTTGTCACGTTTCCAAGCACCAAATCAATTCATATAATGAGGAAGTATCATGTCCTAAAGCTTGCACACGCTTCGGTTACACACTCAAAAGCTTATACTATGTTATAACAGTACAAGTAGGTGAACTGGGATGCAGCAAGAGAATCTGATGGACTAATTCTGATATCCAGACCTTGTGCAGAGTTGGCAACACGTGCGCATGATCATACAGGATGCAGTTGAAGGAGCCATAAACGCCGTCATTCACGTAGTACATCAGGGTTCGGTCATTGGACACATCCTCTTCTTCTGTTGGGGGACGACAAGAAACTGTCATTAATACAGGACTCGAAAGTTTATAAGAATTTTGGGTAATACTTTAGAGTAACGGTCCATTATTAAATATGTCTACTAATATTAACTAAGTGTATTGAGAACACGTGGGAGGATGTTCTCCTACTATTACAAAATGTGCGTCATCCTGAAACAACCGATTCTACAGCGGGTGTAAACAATCTGCTCCGACCGGTAGGAAACTATCAGCATAACCATGACTCATGTTTGCTCGTACCATCGGAGGCTGACTGCTCCTTCATGATGACCTTTTTGGCGATGATGTTGACCGCCAGTGTGTAAGCAGATGCTACATAATAACGGCCGGGTTCAGCGATGATCCTCACGCCAGAGTCCACAGGGAAGTATTTATCCAGCGCAGGGTTAATAACAGCAGCAATCTGACAAACAAACAAATGATGAAGTTCAAGGGGCTGTTCACACACAATGCATCTAAAAACATCAGACTTCCAAAAGCATCTCCTTTGCAATGTTTGCATGATTATTTGCTGTCGGAGCTTTGCAATTAAAAAATGTCATTATAATGGAAGTCAATGGAGCAAAAACAGCCTCTAACACAATAAAATATTATATAGTATTGTTGATTTTTAAAAATATTTTCAAAGCATTTTCCCCACTATATATATATATATATGTATATATATATATATATATATATATGTATATATATATATATATATGTCTCAATAAGATTTGTCAGCAAAAAAAAAAAACACACCATTTGCTGAAACACAGGGGAAAAAAAGGACTCAAAATCACCCAGAGTGGATGTAAACGACCCAACAGTAAATATTTTCGGAATAAAAAAAAAAAGCTGATTAAAAGGCAATACCTCTTCAAACTTGAGTTTGGTGTCCTCAGAGCCTGGAAATCCTCCGCCGATGTCCAGCAGGCTCATGTTATAGCCCAGCTCCGCCTGGTGGACGGAATAGTTTCAGTTCAAGTACACACTAATGCAAAAATGAGTGGCTTGAATTATACGGTAGGGCTGCATGACATAGGGAAAATCTGACATTGCGATTATGTTGTGCTTCTACGATATACATTGCAATGTGAATGACTTAAACGGCTTTATCTGGAAAGAATTCCTTATTATAGATTGATTTGGGGTGATTTTGTAGGGGAGTGAGTCTCGAATAATTTAAAACAAACAAATTCCAAGCATAGATAAACACAGTATTAGAAAGATAAGTGAATAGTTTTCTGAAGAGTCTACCAGTATTCAGGTACTAATGCTGCATACTGAATAATCAACACTGCATTTTATACAATGCAATCTTTATTAAAAGCTACAAACATTATCATTTCTTGTGGTCGGATGTTTTAAACTAAAATACTGAAATGTTCACAGAGTCCTTAAAGGGACAGTGCAACCAAATAAGTAAATTTACTCACCCTACACTTCTTTCCAACGTTTATGAGTTATTAAAATATCTTACTTTTGTGTTCAGCATAAAAGTAACTCATAAACATTTAAAACAAGTGACAGGTGAAATTACGGTTTACTTACGGGTGAATTATCACTTTGAAAATATATTGAAACTCTGTATTGATTATAATCAACTATAAATCCCCACTCAACATTGCATATCCAGCGATGTGACTATTGCGAACAGCGATGATGACTGCCTTATTGTACAGTACAGAACCACTCACCCCAATGTCGAAAACATAGCGAGCATCTGAGATGGCCTGGCTGTATGTTTCCGGGTCCGTACAGCCGCTGCCCACATGGAAACTGACCCCGATCACGTCCAGCCCGAGCTCTTTTGCTCTCTCCAGCAGCAGCCGGCTGCTCTTCAGCGTCGCTCCAAACTTCACACTCAGCCTGCAAACAGCCTTCGAGTCGTCTGTGGCGATGCGGAGAACCAGCCTGTGGAGCGAAACAAGAAGATTAACGAAAATCACAATGCAGAAAGTTTGTATTTACACAATAAATACGTGTGCAGCATTTTTATTTATGTATACATGTATGAATACACACACATACTGTACATAACATACAAAAAGTATACAAAAGAAATAGATTTACATACATTTATATATAATTTTTATTAACATATGAACAAAAACAAGCATTTCATTCAATATAGCCATGCATCTACTTGTATACATTAAAATATACACAGTATGCACACATATATATGTTATGAACATAAACTATTTTGGATGCGATTAATCATGGACAGCACTATTTATCAATGCATTATTTTAGTGGTCAACCAATATCTCAGCTCATGGTTGGCATCTTATTAATTATTAGTATTTAATATGTCTAGAAGTTAGAGTTGGGCGGAAATCTATGGAAATGAATGAGAACAGTGTCAATATTAGCCATCTGCAAACCTTTATTTATAAATCACACTATATGTTTTTATTTAATGCCATGTCGGCAACTACAGCTAGCAAAAATTCAATTTAAAATGAATGCAATAAAATCCACAAACAAATAAACCAGATAAATTAGATAAAATTCCTCAAATCAGTATAAGATAAAAAATATAAATTTTTTCTGCTCAAAGACTTGCTGAATACCTCTTTTAAGTGAGCTAATTTCATCTAAATAAAAATCATATGGTCATTAAAAGTGATCCAATGATAAACAGCTGAAGTCAGAATTATTAGCCCCCTATGTGTTTGTATTCCCAATTTCTGCACATTTTCAACACATTTATAAACATAATAGTTTTAATAACTCATTTATTTTATCTTTGCCATGTTGACGGTACATAATACTAGTATCTAGAAAAATATCTAGTCAGCTTAAAAGGTGACATTTAAATGTATTTATTTATTTTATTCCGCTGTCGCCTCAAGCTTGCATGGTTTGGGATCGGTAGAGCTACCCATCGATGAATTTGCTCTTTAGTCTTTGGACTCTCAGAAATGATTTTAAACCACACTGAACTGAGCCAAACTGAACTGAACTTAAACACTAAAAAACTGAACTACTCTGTTCTAATTTACAATGACCATTTATGTGAAGCTGCTTTGACACAATCTACATTGTAAAAGCGCAATACAAATAAAGTTGAATTGAATTTAAAGGCTAAACTAGAGTAATTAGGGTAAAGTTAGGGTAATTAGGCAAGTCATTGTATAACTGTGGTTTGTTCTGTGGACAATCCAAAACAAATACAGCTTAAGGGGGCTAATAATACTGACCTTAAAATGGCTTTAAAACAATTAAAAACTGATTTTATTCTAGCCGAAATAAAACAAATAAGACTTTCTCCAGAAGAAAAAAATATAGGCAGTACCGTGAAAAATTCCTGAATGTTCAACATCATTTGGGAAATATTTAAGAAAAGAAAAACCCAAATTTACAGGAGGGCGGATTGAAATATACTGGTAAAAGTCTAAATCAAACCCTGCTTTAATACAAAGGCAATAAAAAAGGGGGAGAAAGAATTCAATGATTGGAGCGCTCTTGTCCTGTAATGAAGTAATTTTCTTACTTGGCATTTTCGTGGCTACGGGCCACCTTCATGAGCTCCACCTCGCTGTCGAACGTCATCATCTGCACGCCGTGAGCCGAGGCGTATTTGATCTGCGAAACCTGCTTGCACGGGTTGGCGTAGATGATCCTGCTGGGATCCACACCCACTGACTGCACGATCTGGATCTCCGTCTACAGCAGGATTACAGCTCAGGTTAATACAGGATTCAAGCCACTAAGTGTGCTTAAAGTTTGCAGCGGATGTCATCTGCTGTCTGAGATCAACCTGAGGCCATACATAACCATTGGCCACCCTTACTTGACTCGATATGGTATAAATTCATAGAATCAGAGTAATATTATATCTTTATTTGGTATAAAAGCTAGATAGCCATCCGATCAGAACAAACGCATGAAGTGACGGTGTAAACACGCTGAAGGATTTTACATACTTTGCTGGCACAGTCGAACCCGGCTCCCAGAGACGCCAGTGTGGTGACCACCGCCCTGCTATCGTTGCACTTCACTGCGTAAAACGGCGTGATGCGGGGCAAAACACGCAGCCAGCGGAGGTGCTTCTTCAGGACATCCCCCAGATCCGCCACATAGAAGGCATCTTTATCATCCTGAAAGAGGAGACGGGGTGAGAACGGTGCACTGGATGTGTATAGCCCAAATAAAGAGATTTACTCACACTCAAGTGGTTCCAGACCTTTGTTTATATATGCAAATAAGACATTCGTTGTGTCACTAAAATTTAAATAAGGCCTATTAGTTCACCCAATTACAATGTTAAATATTAGGTTAACCCAAAAATGTGAATTCGGTCTTCATATACTCATTTTCTACTCGTTTCAAACCAGTTTGAGTTTGTATCTTCTGCTGAACACAAAACTAAATGTTTAACAGAAGTTGTTTTACACATAAGCATGATTTAAAGGGACAGTACACCCAAAAATTAGCAATTACTTAAAGTTTCTTCTGTTAAACACAAAACAAAACATTCTGAAAGACGCTGGGAAAAAGCAGCCATTAACATCCATTCAATTGCTATAGAAGTTAATGTCTGTTCTCTTCCAGCATTCTTCAAAATATCTTCATTTGTGTTCAATTGAAGAAACTCAAACAGGTAAAGGATGAATAAATGACGACAGAATTTACACTTTTAGGTGAACTGATATTCAATTTTTTGATTGCGTGAACCAATTTGTCTAAACATTCTGAAAATAAACAGGGAATCTGTGCATGCAGAAATCTGCAGATTTAACTTGTGTCTGTAAATATGTGTGAATTTATATTTATTCAGTCTGTAAATTACTTTAGTAATATTTTACAATACAGTTTTTGAAGTAATATGTCTTTTAGTAGATATATTATATTAGAGACTTGCCCTGTTCACCAAATAAGTGGATCTAATTGGATTTGCATTGCAAACATTAAATAAAAGTTAAATAAAACTGATTATTTTAAATTTTATTTATTACGTTTTTAGTTCCGATACTTCCAAAATCTGCAATTTTTTTTTTTTACAGAATTCTGCGCAGAAACAGCAAAAAATATCTGCAGATTCTGTGTGGCCCTGACTATCACTTGCTTTATATATATATAAACTATGGCATGTGAATCCTACAACACTGGACAATCTCACAATTCAACACCTAAGATCAAACTTTTTGCATCAAAAATCTAACATTTCACGCAATGTGTTCAACTAAACATCACCATGCCTGCCTAAACCATTGATTAGATAAAGACTTGCAAACACTTACGACAGCAGAAAGGTTTTGTTTATATATGCAAATGAGACTGATTATGATTGTCACAAAAAAATATTTTCAGAATAATTTTTAAGCATTAAATATGAATTCACCCATAATTGAGTGATCATCTACACATCCTTCCAAACTGGTCTGAGTTTCTTTTTGATGTTGTACACAAATAGACTAATTTAAAGACTATATAATAGAAAACTGTGCTAAAACATGTGAATACAAACTCAATATAAACAGACTATATAATAGAAGATCTACTGAAGATGCTAAAAAAGCAGCCATTGACTTTATAGTAATTTCTTCGGGATGTCCGGCATTCTTCAGAATATCTTGTTTTGTCTTCCACAGAAGACTACAGCCACTTAAGTGAGTAAATGAGGCAATTTTCATTGTTTGGTGAACTGTGCCTTTAAATCATGCAAATGATATATGAACCAACCACAGCAAAAACTTAATATAAAGTGCGAAATGAGAAAGGAAAAAGCGAAATTACATAACTGAAGTACAGACATTAATACTCAAGTGTGCTTACTAAATTGCAATGTGTAATGAGAGTGAGAGATTCACACTTCTAGATGGTTTTAAATTAATTATTATAAACATACTGATTAATATTATTTATTTTTACAGTTTTATCCTAAAATGTTCATTGTTAAATGCATTTTTTTCTGATTTATATTATCATTTTTTATTTATTTACTTTGTCCTACTACTATTTACTGTGTTTGCTGTTTTCTTCTTATTAATAATAAAAATATATTATATTATAATAATATATACATGTTTATTTTAATGTAAACCTTAGAAATGCTTTGGCAATACATGCCAATAAAGCAATTTCTTAAATTTCTAAAATAAAAACAATGTTCGTAAGCCAAGTGTGTGTGTGTGTGTGTGTGTTTATGAAGCAACTGGTTAGCGTACTGAGAGCGAGGACTCATTGATCTTCTGCTCCACGATATCGCGCGCACAGAATCCCTCCTCCAGGAAGGCGAAGTCAAAGTCTGATCCGGTGCAAGCCGTCATAGTGTTTGTTCAAGATTTGATTGCAAAAGAAACTGTTAAAGAAAATGACATGGCTGTTATACAATGTGACCGCCAAGATAACAGACTGCACTCAATAAAAGGCCATCTGCACAGAAGCTTATCTTTAATCCAATGACAGTTGGATCATTGGAACTGCTGGCTACTCAATGATATTTATACTGAATGTTAACTAATGCTTTAAAGGGGACCTATTATGCTCCTTTTACAAGATATAAAATAAATCTCTGATGTCCCAAGAGTGTGTGTGAAGTTTCAGCTCAAAATAGCACACAGATAATTTTTTCTACCTCTCTGAAACTGACCGTTTTAGGCTTTGATCCTATTTATGGCATTTTGGTGACTGTCGATTTAAATGCAAATGAGATTGTGCTCTTTTTAGAAGAGGGCGGAGCTACAAATGCCTATGTGTCTGCATAGTGGCAAAAACAGTTATGTTTATGCTAAGGAGTGACAGATGGTCAATAGTGGGCGGGGCTTTCCCCCCTCCGATGACATGTACAAAGGGAGAATGTCAATCAACTTCTGCAGACTGTTATCAGTTTACTGTCATAAAACAAATGTAAACAGCAGTTTTTAATACAGATAATTAGTTTACTATAATTAATACTGAATAAAATGTGCTGCTGCATTATTAAAGTATTATGAATATTATAATAAATATAGTATAGCTATATAATATGGTTCAATAGTATAGTATTTTTCCATATAGGATTTCTTAATGAAATACTTAAAAATATAATTTTTTTATTAAATATCCACAAACCTGCATGTAACTATATATATTATTAACTTGCATAACAAGAACAATAGCATACAAAAAATGAGGAATACAATGCTTAAAGTTTTTTTTTTCACATCAAAGGAACAAATCAGTAGAGAATAAAAAAAGTACAGGGGAGATATAAATTACAAAAAATTAAAAAATAATTTTTATAAGAAAATAATAAAAGGATTCCAAAATTGCATTCATCTGCATAACTTTTTTTTATGTCTCTTTTGGTTTCGATTTAATGCTTCAGATCAATTTTAAACAAATAAATATTAGGTTTATCACTGGTACTTACATAGTACTTCCCATACATTATCATTAAAATAATAAACAAATTTTGCTCCAAAGTTTTGTTATTATTATTGTATATCAAAAAAAATATCTTGACAAGAAAACTGAATTTTTAATAAGATATTCAACTTCAAACCCAAACATTAAAAACATTCAACATTAAAAAAACAGGCGTTTAATCGATTCCTCCTCTAATTCACAAAAAGTGCAAGAAGATTCCATGTCTCTAAACATTTTTTAACAACTTGTTTCACTGGATAGATTAAATGAATTACATTATATGTCACTTCATTAACTTAGATGGTGAGACATTATTAACTAGGATAGAGGTAAAGTTGGTTTTATATTCGCACATTCATTCATTTAGCGGTCTCTATGTTGTTTACCATGTTACGTTGAATATTTAATCGGAATTAGCATGCAAGTATGACTTCAAAACAACATTAACACTATCTAATTCACTGTGAACAATGCTGTACTATTTAGAGTTTGCAAAGAATACTTTCCTGAAATTACTAATTTCCGAATATAAAACCAAACTTACCTCTTTTTTACTAGTCATGTTGTAAAGCTTTTTCCACTCAATCTGCTCAATTTATTAAAAAGGAATTTTAAAAATATTTGCATTTACGCAACAATATGGTTCTGCATAACTTTCTAATGCAACAGTTATTAAATTAATTGTCTATAATTTTCACACTATTGATACTTAACTGATTAGATTCAGAGGATAAATTATGTAACTATACATATGACACACATTAAGTTGTTCTCTGACGTCACGGGATGCTCCCAAAAGTCAGGACTGTGACTCACCAGACGAATGGAAGAGATGGGATTGAAACGTGGCTAACAGATGTCAGACAGCCAAGGAGGTTCACCAGTGAAGTTGAAACCTTTCAGATAAGCCTCAAGGCCAGGGCCGGTGTGTACTTCTCTCAAGCAAGAATTCTGAAAGCATTAAAAACCACAAGGAAAGTATTATCAAGTTGAACTTTTCAGCCATTGCGGTATTAAAGTGTGTTCTGAGAAGTCAATTTACGCATGAAGTTTTCATTTGATAAATATTTAGGTCAAAATGCGTGCTGTAACGGCGAATTATGCGTGAAATTAGTATTTAATTTAGTAGCTGTGGTAAACCGCGCACACGCATATCCTCAGTCACATTTTTCACAGAAAGCCGGTTAAATAAGTCCCTCCTCCCAAGAATATGCCGGTTACCCAATAAGGAAACCCCTATTTGCACGGACTATAACAGGCAACCCTGTCAACCAATCACAAGCAAGTCCTTCTTTAAGCTCAGCCAATAGAAGGCACTTATTCAGGCTAGTCTGTCTGCAGCGTGTAACTTCTCCATGCTGACTTCATTCATTGATCTTAAGAGAAACCGTTAGGAAATTTTATGCAACATAAATATATATTGAATATTTTAGCAAAACCGTAACTATCAACACATGTAAAGATTTAAAAATATCTAATTTAGGAAATAAGAGAAGGAAAGTGTGACACATCGGCCACGTTGACTCACACAGCAGAGGCCAAAATGTCGTAATATACGACACTACTTAAACAAGCCACAGATTACACAATTAAACACATTTACCGCGACTTACACAGCGAATAGCTTCTTCATTATTCACAAAATTGTACTACATCACACTCAAAGTATATCCTGGCATAATTACGCCATTATTAGCACAGAAATATAACACGACTCACCTTAAAACGCATTTACAAAGAGTGTTCCCATTAGACCAGAGTGCTGGAAATGAAAAATGCTGTATTTCTCCTGGCTCGACGGGCTGGTGTGATCTGCTGATTCTCGGACCGAGTAAAAGCCGGTGCTTCGGCACTGCAGTATATATAGTGACGTGGTTTCCAGGGTGACGCGCAGGCTGGAACCGGCTTCCTCTGTACACGCGAACCGGTTTGGTCTTGTTCGACTGTGGCGGAGCGGAATAAAGGAGACTTCCCGCGTCCCTCAGAAACAAAGTAAATCCCTCAGTTTGTAAATTATCATCAGTTCATTATAAACTGTCGACGATAGGAGCCCTCAACTTAAAAAATAAACTCAAAATGAAACAACCTAAAGTCTGGAGGTTTCCCAAATGTCCCAACAAATACTGTTATTGGTATGCTAAGTTAACTGAAAAAGTTCATAATGAATTTGGAGTAATACTGTAGCATTCTCATGTGTGTTTATTATTTATATATTGTATTATTGTACAACAAGTAAGAAGAAACTGTTTTAAAACGTGATTCTCCTTAATATATAGTGGAAAATTTAAAAAAAGTTAGTTTAAAAATTGGTTTCTACTTGAATAAAAATGTAATACTAAAATTTATACATTAGCATATAGGCTAACCAAATGGCTAACATTAAAGTGTAAATAAAAAGATAAAATAAATGCTAACTCACCCAGCCAGGATTCAAACCAGCGACCTTTTTGCTGTGAGGCCACAGTGCTACCCACTGAGCAACCATGTTGCCTCAAGAAGAAACTGTGTGTTTTGAAACTCCTTTAGCTCTTAAATATATTGAGGAAGATTTATAAAAAGTTAGTTTGATTTTGAAATAATGCATTTAAGGGTGGCACGGTGGCTCAGTGGTAAGCACTTACAACAAGAAGGTCACAGGTTTGAGCCCCAACTGGGTCAGTTGGTCTTTGTGTGTGGAGTTTGCATGTTCTCCCTGTATTGGCGTGGGTTTCCTCCGGGTGCTCTGGTTTCACCCACAGTCCAAATGCATGCGCTATAGGGGAATTGATTAAGTAAATTGTATTGTGTGTGTATGTGTGTGTGTGAATGTAAGAGTGTGTTTCCCAGAGCTGGGTTGCAGCCGGAAGGTTCGTTCCACTGTGGTGACTCCGAGATAAAGGAACTAAGCTGAATTAAAATGAATTAATTTAACAGTAAAATTGTGACATGAAAAATAAAACGACTGAAAGTCTGGTGGTTTCCCAAATGTCCAAGCAAAAACTGTTAGGCTAACTGAAAAAGTTCACGTTAGCATTCTCATTTGTGATTATTAATATTTCTTGTTTTGTATATACAGCATAAAACTGTAACAAAGAGAAAGAGTGTGCATTTCTACACCATCATCTATTAGTTAAAGCATATGCTTCTTTTTAAGTTGCTAAATACATTGGGGGGGAAAAGGGTTTATATTTGAAATAAAAATTAATATTAATGACAAAAAATGTACGGCTGACATCAACACATAACAAAATGACTGAAACTGAAAACATGAACTGATCAGAATACAAAGATAAAAGTTGTAAATAAAATAAAATGTAAAAAAACACAAATATACATGATCAATAAATTATGACCGCATGTTTCAACTTATTAAACTTCACTAAAAAGTCTTGCTGACTTAAATCTTCAGTTGAACTTACTGAACATTTCCAGTCATCTCAACTTACATCAAACTGATTTAAAATATTAAGTTAAACTTTGTAGAACTTAAAAAAATGGACTAGAAACTCGATTAACATATTTAATTAAGTTAATTCAACATATAAATATTTGTTGTCTTGACTTTATGCCATAAAATGTTTACAGTGTTAGTTAACCGTGATTCCAACTGGAGTTTTAAAGTTAAATTCTCCTGGGATAGTTCACCAAAAAATTTAAATTTACTCACAATTTACTCTTTTTCATGTGTTTATGAGTTTCTTGATTCTTGTTGAACACTAAATAAGATATTGTGAATAACCTGTAACGATTTACTTCCATAAAACAAATACTATAAAAGCCAGTTTACAACAGGTTTACAACATTTTTCAAAATATCTTCCTTTGGGTTCCACAGATGGCGAAGCAGTGGCGCAGTGGGTAGTGCTGTCGCCTCACAGCAAGAATGTCGCTGGTTCGATCCTCGGCTCAGTTGGCGTTTCTGTGCGGAGTTTGCATGTTCTCCCAGTCCAAAGACATGCGGTACAGGTGAATTGGGTTGGCTAAGTTGTCCGTAGTGTATGAGTGTGTGTGTGAATGTTACTCAAAGATGGATTGCGGCTGGAAGGGCATCCGCTGCGTAAAAACTTGCTGTATAAGTTGGCGGTTCATTCCACTGTGGCGACCCCGGATTAATAAAGGGACTAAGCCGACAAGAAAATGAATGAATGGGTTCCACAGATGCAAGAAAATTATAAAGGTTTAAAAGAAGTAAAAGGTGAATAAATGATGACAGAATTATCAGTTTTGGGTGAACTATTCCTTTAATTAACGGTAATTTGATTTAAATTAAAAAAGTCCTTTTTTTAGTAATAAAGGCGTAAATAAATAATACTAAAATATTTAACAAAAAATATACAAATATTTTTCTAAACGGTCAACTGCAAATATATAAGCAAACACTGAGGGAAGAGGTTATCATGTGTGGGATGTTCTCTGTTTTTTGTGTCTCTGTGTTTGTGCTGCTTTCAGTTTCTTCATTTCCATGACCACAGATTTCAGTCGGCGTGCTGCAAGATCTTGCCAAAGAGGACAAAATGGACGTTTCCTCACCTTTCCTCAAACATCTGCACTTCCGTCTTTTATCTCTGTTCTGTCGTCCTGCCAGATGTGCCGAATTCGTACTCTAAGTCTAAATATATCCATGCTGAAACACTCCATAATCAAAAGCGCAGTATAAATATAGGTGTATCCTGTGCACCTGGAGGGGCGGCACGGTGGCTCAATGGTCAGCACTGTCGCCTCACTTTTGTCGAGTCCCGGCTGGGTCAGTTGGCATGTCTGTGTGGAGTTTGCATGCTCTCCCCGTGTTGGCGTGGGTTTCCTCCGGGTTTTCCCACAGTCCAAACACATGAACTATAGGGGAACTGATGAACTAAATTGGCCGATGTGTGTGTGTGTGTGTGTGTGAGATTGTATGTGTGTGTTTCCCAGTACTGGGTTGCATCTGAAAGGTCATCTGCTGTGTAAAACATATGCTGGAAGAGTTGGTGGTTCATTCCACCGTGGCGACCTCTGCTAAATCAGAGACTAAGCCGATGAAAAATGAATGAATGAATGAATGAATGTGCATCCCGACCCCGAAAGGCACAACACAAACGATTACTCCTTCATTTTTAAAAAGCTTTATTATTATTATTATTATTATTAAATTATTATTATTAAGTTTTTTACTATTATTTTTATTATTATTTGTATTATTATTATTATTTTTACTATTATTATTATTATTTTACAACTACTATTATTATTATTATTATTACTATTATTTATTTTACTATTATTATTATTATTTGTATTAATATTATTATTATTATTTTACTATTATTATTATTATTATTATTAAATTATTATTATTATTATTATTATTATTATTTAGTTTTTTACTATTATTATTATTATAATTATTTGTATGATTATAATTTTTTACTACTATTAATATTATTATTATTATTATTATTATTACTATTTTACTACAATTATTATTATTATTATTACTATTATTTATTTTTACTATTATTATTATTATTATTATTTGTATTAATATTATTATTATTATTTTACTATTATTATTATTATTATTATTTAGTTTTTTACTATTATTATTATTATTATTATTATTATTTGTATTATAATTTTTTACTATTATTATTATTATTATTATTTTACTATTGTTATTATTTTCTTACTACTACTATTATTATTATTATTATTGTTATAATTATTATTATTATTATTATTATTATTATTATTATTATTATTATTATTATTATTGTACGCTATAAAGATGCATGTAGTGGCTGTCCTTTCACCTCTCCACATTTATAACTAAGACGCTGGATGATTTTTTTTATCTCAACAGCTGATAATCAGACGACTGTTATCTTTAAATGTAGTCAATTGAGTTGTCTTTACAACAGAATAGTGGTGCAATTACTTCACAGACAGCACTGCTCATATAACATTGCCATTTATTTGAATATTCATATATTCATTCATTCATTCATTCATTCATTCATTCATTCATTCATTCATTCATTTCCTTTTCAGCTTAGACCCTTTATTAATCTGGGATCGCCACAGAATACTGAGCTTATTAGGTGCGGTAGGCAGTTTATATTCCTATATAGCCGTCTTAGCCAAATTAATTGGGGGATCTCTCGAGAACTACCTGATCTCATATCCCTACTAATGCTCATTGCAGGCGGGAGCCTTGGGCTCATTTATCTCCAAGCTCAGGGTTCTCTCCCGGATGCCAGACCTGCTATTATCAAGCATTATCTAAGTGTGAACTCTTGAAACACTCTGTTAGTTTACAGTGTCTGTATTTTTCGATTCACAAGTGTTTATTTACGGTTGTGAACTGCATTATGGGATGTTGATCTCTGCTCTGTCGCCTAAAAAAGCGAAAAAAAGCTACTCTACAGTTGAACAAAGTGACTTTTACTGACATTTCAGTAATAATATAATGTATAAAGAGATTATATATAGAGGAATAAGCCTGTAACAGAACAGAACACATGCTCCAGTTTATTTCAAGGTTTCTGTAGAGTAATATACAACACCATCACAGACAATACAGCACTGAAACTGTTAAATCTGTCAATAAAAGTCACTTTCAGAACTTTTCAAGGTTAAAAGTTGTTGGTAGAAAGATCAAGCTCCCATAATGCAGTTCAAGAGCACAAATAAATGAGGGAAAATAAAAACACGAACCATAATAAAAGGTGATGAGCTTCAATGGAGATCTGACAACTTGACAAACATGGACAAACAGTGATCTTTCGTAACTTGATTGGGCCGTACATGTTACGTGAGTTTCCTGGGAGAAGTAACAACGGAAGGGTGTTGGGAGATGGGTGTGAAATGTGGAAGACTCGCAGTAAA